TTGGATGGATGTTGTTACACAAATGGCAGGTCGTTGGTTCTGTCATTATGGAGTGCCGAGCTGACGCTGCTGCCCGTAATTGCGTGGCGCTATTCATTAGCAGCACTTCACAATAATCATGTCACTGTTTGGAGTCCTGTCACAGCCAGCACATGTTCAGCGCACTCTTAAGGGCAGGCTTGTCTGTTGTCCTCAACTCTACTCCCTCATTCACATTTACACACATACAAACACACACACATGGATATATGCACATTATGCATACATGCAGAATCACGTATAGGGCTGCCGCTAAGGCTTATTTTCGAAAGTTCTACAATGTGGTTTATAAATGTTAGAAAATAGCAACTGCCTCCCAAAATTTGACATTTGAATGTTTTGAACAGTTCAAAACCCAAAATTGTAACATAATGTCACATGAAATTGAGAGCAACAAACACTTTAATTGGAGGAATGTTATGCTTATTTCTGCAAGGAAAAAAACATATTTTAGCTCTACACTCGCTCCTAGAATACCACGATTAGGGTAATGCATTTCTCACTCCTCTGCTTGTCATTTGTGTTGCCTTTACTTGCTAATTACTGTCAGCATACATGCAGATGTCAGGCCTATCATTACGAATAGTGATTTAAGTGAATTTATACACACTGTGAATCTGCCACAGGGTTTTTTTCTGCTCAAACTGCAGGTTACTATCAATTAGGCAAGGCAAGTTTATTTATATTGAACAAATCAATGACTGGATGTGTCAGAACTTTCTCCAATTAAACAAAGATACAACTGAGGTAATGGTTTTTGGAGCCAAGGCAGAACGTATAAAAGTTAGCGCTGAGCTTCAGTCTGCAATGTTCAAAACAACAGATAAAGCCAGAAATCTAGGTGTAGTCATGGACTCTGACCTGAGTTTCAACAGTCACATTAAAACAGTTACTAAATCAGCCTACTATCACCTAAAGAATATATCTAGGATTAAAAGACTAATGTCACAGCAGGATTTGGAAAAACTTGTCCATGCTTTTATCTTCAGTAGACTCGACTACTGCAATGGTGTCTTCACAGGTCTCACTAAAAAATCTATTAGAAAGCTGCAGCTGATTCAGAACGCCGCTGCTCGAGTCTTTTATTCAATTTGGGTGGATTTTGTACAGAGTTGATGTTCGGCTGTGTATTATATTTATCCTATATTTCATGTTTTATTTCTTGTGTTTTCCATCCCCCTCTCCTTTCCCCTCTGTTTGTTTGGCCTTCTCTCGTACTCCTGCAGTTATTTAAGGAGGAGCTGACCCAGGTGAAGGAGGGCATGAAGCACATCAATGATCTTGCCCACCAGCTGGCTATCTCAGATGTACATTTGTCGATGGATAACGCCCGAGCCCTGGAGCATCTCAACAGCAGATGGAAAGTGCTGCAGGTAGAGTTTACTGCTGGGCCTGTGTTGACTGTTTGACATTGTCAGCAGCAGCTTTTACAGCAATCATATTCAAGGGAGACATTAGAGAGTGATTCCATGTTTAATGTTTGCCCTAATGCAAGATAAGGCTTTTTGTGATAACCACACCCTAGTGTCATGTTACATCTCTTTCAATGTTTGTAGGAAAATGGTGTGTTATCAGGGATGGATAAAGGGACATGTGTGTCTATTGGTCAGAATTGTTTAAACATTTAACATGTAAAGTTTCTGCGTAGATGAGGTCTCTGGCAATGGCATGCATCATGAATGGATAGTTAAAGTGAGAAATACGCAGAATAAAATAAGGATTTCAACTCCAAGCGCCTTGGAATCAGTGAGCTGGACTCGCCCTTCCCTCGAGTCTTAGCTGAATGTATGGATGCATTATCCAGTGAGCATTAGTGTCAATCTGCAGTGTGCAACTTCCAGACTCATGCTCTATTCTCCATCAGCAACCCCTGTAGTGCTCCCACAAGCACAACAGCATCCATTCAAGTGAGAACCCCCTGTTCCCATCAGATAACCCTCATGACACCTTATCCACAGTCAATGGCCTCGTCATTATTTTATAATTGCCACTATGCCTGTCTGGCCTTCTGCCATCTGAACATGATGATGTTAATGTCCCTCCAACAATTCCTAGAAATGAATTTCCACTATCCACTTCGCACACTCACTGCTCCGTGACTCTTAAATTACAGCTTTCGTGTTTCTCATGCGGCCTCGCCATAGCCCAGAGTAAAACAGCTCATGAGGAGAGCACAACAGAGCAGATCAGTGAAAAATAACTGTTGCTGTGATTGAAGCAAATAAAGTGAGTAGCTTCAGCCTTTGTTTAAGTGAAACCTATTGGACTGTTTGGGAAAAAAAGTCTTATGTTGGTGCTTACTGAAGGTTTTCTTGACAGCCTGGTTGAAATATTACAGTATTTAGTTGTTTTTCTTTAAGGAGGGCAATGTTGGTTTGACAGTTGGTCACTTTGGGCTAAACTGTAATAGCTCAACAATTATTGAATGGATTAGGATGAAATGTTGTACTGACATTAATGTTCCCCAGACAATGTTTATTAAAGACTTAGATCAGGGATGGGCAAATGGTGGCCCGCGGGGCGCATGCGGCCCCCACCTCCTCTTTTTGCGGCCCTCAGATTAATTTATAAACAACGTAATTAATTAAAAAAAAATTAAAAAAAATGTATTTTATTTTTTACTTGTAGTACTGATACCGTCCACTAGACTCCTAGTTACGTCGCGAGCTGCGTAGATGATTTCAAATACCGCGAAATAATCTGTGACGCATTTGTGTGTATTGTGTTTGTTTCCCGGGAAACCCTCACAAGAAACACCAGCTGTTGTTATGCCTGCTGTAACATTAAGTTGCCTCTTGTAATTATGCCTTTACAAGCTTAAATGTTATTTTTATCATCTGAATTTGGCGAAACAAGTTTAATATTCTTAAAACCAAGACTTTGTTTATTTGAAATCAGATGAAAACAAACTGCCGTGTTATCTATGATTACTACGCTTTTCATTCATAATTTCAGCGGGAGGGAGGGGGAGTGGTGCTGAGGAACAGCAGAGTGAGGGCTGACAGGTGTCTGTGTTGACATTCCCCTTATTGTGGAATAAGGGGAATGCAGAGACTGGCTACAAGTGTTTTAGGTTCAAGTTAGACAACTAATGTCTGGGTTAGTGTTCATGACTTCATGTGTATGTCATCTAATGGTTAATCTCAATACACACACATTTTCCGTGCTTTCCAATAGTTTAAAATAGTTTTATTCCACTGTTTAATAACCTGTTCAATACAAACATACCACTTGTAAAAATGAAATAACATTTCTGTGAACTGATATTTATTTAGTGAGCTTATTAGAGGATGTTCCCATTTTTTGGGGATGTTCCCTTTGATTGTAAAATGTCAATGAAGATGTCAGACTTAGTATATTTGTTAATAATTACATACAACACATGGAATTTTTGTGTGTGTTCCAAGTGAATCTGCGGCCCCCTGGTGGCCAGCACATCAATGATGTGGCCCCCATCACCATCAAAGTTGTCCATCCCTGACTTAGATGATCCCATGACGTCTAGCACCACCACCACCAGTTTGTGGTTTCTAGAGAAACGTTTCATTAGCTAATGGATGCATTAGTTGAAATGGTCCAGATATTAATGTTCCTCTCAGGAAAAACTCTGATACCTTTGTTGATCGTTTGACTTTTCCTCTATCACCCTAAAAGTGCAAGGCTCTTATGCCATGTCCCAAATTCATACTCCATGCTGGTGTATACAATAGAAAGATTCACTAAAGAAGTTCACTAAAATCCAATGTGCATGCCAAATACAGTTGAGTTGTTTTTAGTACACAATATTCTCCCAAAATGCAGTGAAGTTTAATAAGCAGCAGCAGTCACAGTTATTGATAATGTCATGTTAGTATCAAATTGTATGTTGTTATGTTTCTTTACTAAATGCCAAAACAGTATACTAAAATGTTTTTAAGTACATGCTGTAAATAATTATAATACAGTATGGATTTAGCCTCTGTCTTGTATTTCAGACCCTGCAGTCATGTATTGGTTCAAAACTCTCAGGTGCACTTTGTTAAAAAGGTGCTTATCCTACAGATGCAGCTGTACTGTCTGACTCTTTCTTTAATGTGTGGGATGGAAAGAGCTTGAATATAAATGGAAGCATCAGTCGGTCTTCTTTTAGTACACAGCAGTAGCATATCTTCCTTCTGCTATAATTAAAACATCTTGAAGTTTGTTCTTTCACGAGGTCACGATGCATAGTGAGGTTTAAACGGTCGTTAAAAGCCTTCAGATGGGCATTAAATTCCAATTACACACTTTCTGGAGCCTGCATTATCACATCCTCTACAAATTTCCGCCCCACTCTTATGTTTTTTAGCACAGTATTGTTGCGCTGCAAACAAAGAAGAGAAATTAGGACTTTTGCTCATGGATGTCCTTTTGCATTGGAGGTGAAAAAGTCCTCATGAAAAAGTGATTTTACAACAAAGTTTCTGCCAATCTTTGATGTACAGTACGCTACAGCGGCATGTCCTCTGGTCTTTGATTCAGGAACTGAGACTCCTTTCCCCCCGATGATTGCCACTGTTTGAAAGGCTCTCAGTGTCTATAGTCACCAGCAGATATTCGTCTCCCAGGTATTGGACTGTTATCAAAATGTCTTTGATATAAGGGTCACATATGAAGAGACAGGTGTTGCGAATGGTTTTTAGAAAAACATTCTTTGAGCTTCTTTGCTCACAGTACGGCCAACCTGATATCTGTACTCATCCACTTTAATTAATTTCAGCGCATTAAGATGCATTGACTTGCTATCTTTCACTGTGAAAGCAGAATGGAGGAACGCTTTCCATTTCCCCCTCTTAGTGTCCTATTTCTCTCAACTTGTTAAGCCCCGAGCCTGTTTTTCAGGTCTCAGGCTCGAAAATGACATTCCCAGAACAAATGACCATATCTTCCCTTCTAAAAGGGTTAAATTAATAATCCTTTTTCTCAAAGCAAGGTTACACCTGTGAGTTGGATGTAGAAGTGTCAGAATCAATATAGATGTTTTTATTTTAAAGTAAATTCAGATTGAACACAGTAAAAAAAAAAAAATTATTGTGGCCGTCCAACAAAAAAAAATTACTTATAGTGAAAACCACCCTTGAATGATGGGATGGTAGACTAAAAGCTTTAGGAATCCAAACTACAACATATAATCCTGTATCAAGATTGATGCAAAACAAGTGAAATTTGACCTTTTTAGAGAGATTTTGTAATAAAAAACCCACTTCTGAGGTCATTTGACCTATCTCTGGCCCCCCTTGGTCGATTTTGCTGATTGACATCTATTTCTAACCGTCAGAGCCAATGGAATCGAAGGGAACTCCCACATACTCCTTATTTGGTAATGTGTGTGTGTGTGAGACTGCCGCATTGCCAAGACCGGAAGCTGCGATAACTCTGGTGGCTACCATTAGCAGCTGACTTTTACTCTCCGATTTTTACATAAAAATTGAATTATGGATTATAAATAAAAACAATTATCACCCAGAAACATTATCAACCTATGGATTAACCGATTCAGCCGCGTTTTTTCTCGTTTTAATGCCATTGAACCAGTCTTTTGATCAGATTGACAGCTACGGTGAGACGATCTCCTGTAAAAGCTCCGTAAAGGTACGTTTTGTGATGTCTGTGTTTGCTTCCCCTGTCAAGAGTTCGGATCACTCAGTGATGATATATATACCTAAATAATCTGTGGAACCTCGGATATCTTGTATGTGCAGCTACGATAAGTAATAAGGGTATCTTTTATCTTGAGTTCTGTGCCAAAGTGCGTTAGCATTTTTCGCTCAGGGGTCATATAGATGCTTCTTATAAGACTTGTGTTTTGTTTTGGTAAAAACGGTTTGTATCGTCAATTAGCTGAGATTATTCCCGTTAATCTGGTATAACACATTAATAGGTTCTTAAATATTAAGATCCCCTGAGACACAGTGTTGTCCACCGGCGGGGACCTTGGGGCTTAACAGGTTTTTAATTAAAATGATAAATGCTAAATACCGACAACATCCGGTGCCCTGTTGATTTTGGCTGCTCTGATGCCAGCGAAAAATGTATTTTCAAATTTGATTAGTAAATATTTGTCGATCATGGATAATACGGTCATTTGTCTTCCCTATGGCAGCCCAAATTGCCTGCACAACAAATAGATTGTACAACCGGCACAATTGGCAGTTACATCTCCACGGCACATTGGCAATGCTCTATATTAGTCGCAAGCAATTTAAATCACACTCTAGAGTTTATTGTTATATGTTCTGGTTGAGCGAGAAATGATGTGTGTACACAGTGAAAAATGCCGACTCAATACATCTACCTTTACACATTACGACTCATTGTCCCTCACTGTGTCCTCTTTCTCTTCTTCTCTTTATCTGTCTCTCTACCTCCCTGCGAGTGGATTCACCTCCCATTGTTTGAGAGAGCGTTATAAACATCCAGCTGACAATGATTCATGTGCCAAATCCAATTCATTTCAAATAAACCAGGATTAGGCAGACTAAATCCCATTTGGTGGGAAACATACAGTAACTGCTTTTACTAAGGCAAACTTAATTTTGTCAACTCAGTCTCTATGGTTATTGACGCAACACATTTGAGGCTTTGCACCCGCTCCTTCGCTCATTTCATCATCTGTTATCTCTTTTCCACACTGCCATTGCGAACCAGGCGCTGTTGTCCTCGTTTCAAGAACAAATATATTATTTGGTAATCTTTGTCTTCACTTCCTACCTGCCACTCTTCAAAGGCTTTCAAAGACCTTCAAGAGGGGCAGCAGAGGAAAAAGACATCATTTATATTGTGTAGTTAACTAATGGAGGAGAAACAGGTGTTCTGCATGTGTGCAGTTCTTTCTTTTGGGGATTTGTAGCGAAGGGGGATGAACAGCAGGTTTCCCTTTGATTTAACTCTGTGTGTGTGTGTGTGTGTGTGTGTGTGTGTGTGTGTGTGTGTGTGTGTGTGTGTTGTGTGTGTGTGTGTGTGTGTGTGTGTGTGTGTGTGTGTGTGTGTGTGTGTGTGTGTGTGTGTGTGTGTGTGTGTGTGTGTGTGTGTGTGTGTGTGTGTGTGTGTGCGTGTGCGTGTGCGTGTGTGTGTGTGTCTCCTCAGGCTTCCATAGAGGAGCGGCTGAAGCAGCTCCAGGATGCACATAGAGACTTTGGCCCCGGATCCCAGCACTTCCTTTCCAGTAAGCTCCTCTCCTGCTATTTGAAGTTGGTTCCTCATGATGCGCCGATCTGTGCCAAAGCTCCATCTCAGCGTGTGGTGATGAAAAAGAGGGTTAGGTGTATTGCAGTTTGTTACGATAAGTCTCTAAACCGCTCCATGTGTGTGTATTTGGGTTAGAGGTGGAGCTTGCTGGCTTTGCTCATCTTTCTTCTTCAGTTCCAGCACATCGCTGCGATAAACATCCCTCATCGGATCCGTCATTGCTCTCATTTGAGCGGAGATACATATTTGTTAATTATGTCTCTTCTTTCACCTGCTGCTCTTCAAAGGCTACAGAGAAGATGCAGGAGGGCGGAAGATGTTGATTTACTCTTCCTAATTGAAGCTGATGTGTGTTGCAGTGCTCTCTGTGTGGGGGCCTCTGCAGTGCTGTGTGCTTGTGAGCCTCCTCCAAACCCCATCCTGTTTCACTGCTGTCACGCTGGCTCACAGGGGCTTACAGTATAGACCAACCCCACTGACCCCTCAGCCCACTGAACCCTAAACACCTACAGTAGTCCATATTGTACAAATGGTATCATGCCTTTGGGGTTTGTTTTAAACAGATTATGAATTTTGTTTTACTTCTATTTTATTCCATTTCTATTTGTAACACTACCTTTCTACATTTCAAAGGCAATTTAGCATTTTGCAATTTGTGAATTCTACATTTATTTTGTTTGTGTCCTCCGATGTCTGTGCAAAACTCAACAATAATTAACCCCTGAAAGCAAATCAATAAACCCTGATCAGAGAAAAGACAAGGACATAGTTGAAATTGATGTCGTTTAACTTATAACTGGTTTGCTAACCCATCGTTTTTTTATTCTCTGTCAAAGCGTCTTTGAGTTTCTAGAAAAGCGCTATACAAGTATCATGCATTATTTATTTTTATTATTATTATTATTATTATTAAAGGATTAGTCTTGTGATCTTTTGGAGGATGCCCAATCCCTATAGGGATCAGCTTGACTGAACTACCAAACAATGAAAGGTTTTTAAACATTTCCATTAGGACCAGCTTCCAATGTTAAATGTTACCTATGCATTGATGCACAAGTATTAACAACTTTAATAATATGATTATATAATGCCAAGAGCTGACATTTCCTCCACAGTGAATACTTGATGCTTTATTTTGATGATACCTGTGCAGGTACTTTATTTCTAATGTATTGTGTCGGTACTTGAGTGGAGGCACTTAATGCATATTTTGCCCCTAGATTTGAGAGTCTACTTCAGTCTTTGTGCGTTGGAGTACTTTTCACTTGTACAGAACCACAAGATATAATTCTGCATTGTGCTGTGTCGTGATAAAATGTACAATGACAAGGTGTGTGTGCGGTTGCGTGTATGCCTGTTTATCAGTGTAGCGGTGCGTATTGTCTGCCTGTTGCTTCGTCAGGTGCTGTCTGTCCTGTTTGATCCTCTGCTGAACCTCCTGTGGTTCAGTTTTGTAGGCCGGTTAAATCACTACAGTCAACCCGCCTCACCGAGTGCTCTGCCTCACGTGTGTTAGGCTAGGCCAAACAAACCGGCCCTCTGTGGAAACCCGAAACAATAGACATGTCTCTTTGGCTTTACTGCGCTTGGTGTACTCCAGAGTGGCTCTGTTATGAAGGGCTGAATGGACACACTGTCTGGACACGCTGTGAACAATGGATTTTCATGCGAAACATGCCAATTCTGAGATTGATTTGGTGTCTGTGTGTTTGCTCAGGTTCAGTGCAGATACCCTGGGAGCGTGCAATCTCCCCAAACAAAGTGCCCTACTACATCAAGTAAGTGTAACCTCATGGTCAATTTCTTTATTGTGATAAATGTTATTTCTGGATTCAGGTGCTAGTATTTTTGATCTTTATGAGTAATGAACATGTCTGCTGTTTCTCTTAGGTTTCACACTAAACTCTCCTGAAACAGGCTGTTTGTACGGTTATTCAAAACTACTTTTGTGATTGGCTGGTAGTATTTGTATCAGTATTTTCGGGGAGTAAGAGAAGAAAACTACCAGCTTTGACACAACTTAAATCACATCACTAACTGCTAAATCCAACCCAAATCCAAACAGTTCTTGCCTGACAATTTTAAAGATCCTTTCATTTGTGTAGAAATACCACTGGATAGCAAATACATACTAAAGGATCCAGAGAGGACCCGTGAGCCCTATTTGCTTGAGCACTCATCTGTTAATCTATTTAACTAATCAATACTATTTCACCTTTAAAGTTCTGCTGGTTTTATCAATGAACTATCAATGTGTGTGTGTGTTTACGCCTACAGCATGGTGTGTTTGTGTGCAGGTTTTTAACTGCAGATTTACGGGAGTTCTTCTGCAAGCTATGGGTATTTATTTTCTTAATCAGGTGCAACAGAATCTCGTGGGTCTTATTTAAGTCTGCTAGTCAGTTCTTTATGGGCTATGTTACTGTACCAACAGGAGTGGGAGTAGTATCTGAATAGCACTTCATTGGGTAGCACTCAATGACCACTCGCACAGGTAAAACGATGAGTGTTGCCCAAAAAGGCCCCTGGGTCCTGGCAGACATCCTGCTTTTGAGTTTCTGATTTATTCGATGCGTTTGTACTTTCTTATTGGACCTTTCTTTTTTTCTTCATGTACCCAGAGACAGAAGTGGGATGAAAATGTATGTTTTTTCTTTGTATGTGCGGGTTTGGATTACATGTACTTTCCCTAAGTGAAGCCACGAAGCAATTTATCTCCGGCAGGGGTTTGGGACTTTGATGCCTTAACTTAAATCATGTTTGACCTTTGTCTTCCCCTTACAGGCCTAAAGTATCTTGTAACCGCGGTCGTCCTATCCAGTCCTCACATGTTACTGTCTCATCTCCTTTCTTTTACCGTCCGCCTCACCTCTCATCTCTGCTTCCCTCAGCTCATTTGTACTCCAATTGATGTTTCTGGACTGAAATTGGAACCAACCTCCTTTCTAGCCTGCTTCACAAATTATTCCACCTTTTGTCCATTTTTTCCCTGTCTTCCACCAGCCATCAGGCCCAGACAACGTGCTGGGACCATCCAAAGATGACAGAACTCTACCAAGCGCTGGGTGAGTAAGGGCACAATTAAATTACCCTTCAAGTCCCGCTCGTTTGCTCAGGACCCCCACTGAGCTTCAGCAGCAGCAGCACGAATCCACCAGGCTCCCGTTTTGTAGGCCCTGTCACGCAGCTCATTAAAGGCCCTGTGTTTCAAACACCTCAGGGACTACATCTCCACTATCATTAACCTACAAGGACCAATTTGTCAGCGCTGTGATTGCCTTTTGCTTAGCCTTTAATTAATTGTGATTAAACGACATCATGTGTTTTACTTTTAATCTGATCTGACACTTCTAAAGGGGATAGACACGCTGTTGCAAACACATGCTCAGCTAGACACACGCATGTGCACACACACATACACGTCTGTAATGACTCCTGCAATGTGTGATAACCAAGAGAAGAGATAGCAACGTCTAATTCGTCTATGGCAGGGTGGGTTTGTTTCCCCTCATCTTCTCATTTACTCTAATCTCGTTCTATCTCTCTCATTCCCTCCATTAGCGGATATGAACAACATCAAGTTCTCTGCATACAGAACAGCCATGAAGCTGCGGAAAGTTCAGAAGGCTCTGAGATGTACGTACACTTTTTCATCGATGGCATTTCCTGCCTGCAACGCTGGGATGGCTGATTAAGTGATATTGTGTTATCCTGCACCAACATTAATCCTCGATGACAAGCTCTCTTTGCGAAAGAGACATAACGATTAGCCGTGGCACATTTCTTTATTCAGTTGACAAAGAGTTCATCACATCTCCCTACAATCCTTTGAAATGTAGAAATATTCTCTCCAACGCTGGCTTAGAAATGCAGAAATACAAAGTATTGATAAACTCAAGAGCCACTAGAAACCACTCAGGCGCCGCATTACTTCAACATTTTCATTACAGCGCGGATCGTTGGTGTGCTAGGTAATTAGAGCTATTAATTGGTCCATTTGACGTACAAATGAGAACGCAATTAATTGTTGCTGCATGGTTAAGGCTGGAAAACGTGCCCCTTCAGGGTCAAAGCCCTTGTTGTACTCTTCTGGGGCCAGAACCTCTTACTTTCTGCTATAACAACGGCTAATTCTTCCACAACTACTCTTCATGATTATTTGTATTTCTCTATGCCTCACATTCGGTGCTTTTGGTTCCCCTATCCCCACTTAACCCTGGCTTCGTCCATCTTTCGTCAGCCTGCAGTGTTCTAACCCCCACTGACACCAGATGAGCTCATATATGCTGCTGCAAGTGGCCAATTTCACACTTTTCCTTCCTCATGTTCAGCCCCTTTCCTTCCCTGCCTTGCAACCTTCCTCCAAACCATCCTCTCCTCCCGTCCCAGAGTAATAATAATAATAATCCTTATATTTATTATAGCGCTTTATCAATGACTCTCAAAGCGCTTTACAAATACACATTACACACAGAGTTGCTGTAATAAACCCTCAGCATGCTCAGAGTACTGTGAAAAACCTCTTTCAATGACTCTCTCTATCTCTTTCTCTTGAAGCTCTCTTATCTCACCCTGCTAGTTGATATCGTTACAGAATTTAATTGCTAGGCTGCCTTGATAACAGCACTCTCTCTCTTTCTCTTTGCACACTTTGTGAATGATTGAGCAGTGCTGCCTAAGAGCCCATCAGAAATACATTTTAGGTGATTCCTCACAACCCAGAGAATACTCCTGTTATCTCCTCTCTCTGTTCTACCTCATTATCGCGCTATCCAATTATACCTGGCATCAACGGACACCCTTTTAGCTCCACTCCTCGGGATGGGCCATCAAATTAGTTTAGGAGAACAAAATCTAATTTGTGTCACTGCTCTTGAAACATCTGGTCAGGCTTTAGTGGGCAAAAAGGGTGAATAAGCACTATGCTATGGCCTGTACTCTCATTTGCTGAGGTGAGGATGATACTGTGCCTGTGAGTGTTTGCTTGTTCGGAGGTGAATGTGCAGCCATCTATGTATGAATGTAGCTGTTATATCTCCAGCATGAGTAGATGCATGACTGGTTACATGATAAAAAGTTAACTCTTTCTTTAACCATACAACAAATACCAAACCTTCATACATACACATAAAACATTTTCAATTCAAAAGCATACAGTACATACACATGGTCACAAAGTGTTTCTGTCTGTGTTTCTAATATGTCTCTATGTGTGTGTTTTAGTGGATTTGGTGGTGCTGAGCAGCCTCGTGGACGTGTTTCGGGAGCAGGAGCTGCAGCAGGGGGAGCATGTGATGGACGTGGTGGAGATGATCCACAGTCTGACGTCTCTGTACGAGAAGCTGGAGGAAGAGAAGTCCATCCTGGTCAACATTCCTCTTTGCGTCGACATGTGTCTCAACTGGCTGCTCAACGTCTACGACAGGTGGGTAACCTGCGGTGGGATGTCTCCAAGTATATATTGAGAGCTGTGTTGAAAAATGCATTGAGTATATTCTAACATCACAGCTATTATGCCCTTCGGTCATCATGTTAGTTTCTCCAGCAGACATAGAGCAACATGATTATCCTTTTCAAGTCCAATATTAATAAGCACCTAAATACAAAGAAACATGCCTTTACCTTACTTTAAATTATTTTGGCTTACTCCTGATTCATCCTGAATAGGTGGCTCTGACCATAGAGTTTATATGACGGCTGAAAAATGTGAATTATGAGAAAAAGGCTCATCATAAAGCAGTCGTTCAAGATAATTATACCACTCTTGTTTTAGTAGTTAATCATCAAGCTTTTTCTGTCTCTCTACTCTCAGGCCAAGCTAAAGCCTCCACTTAGCCCCTCGGCTTTTGTCAAGTCCCCTTTTAACATTTTTGTAATGTCCTGCTTTTTTAATCTGTTGTTGGTTTACTCGGTTTCTCCTCACCTCCTATTTGGTTTGATCTCTCTATTTATGCTTGTTGTGTTACATTATGTATTATTGCCTTTTATACACCTATTATATCATTTATTATGTATGCCTTATTGAGGCCGATCCTGTCCCACCTGCCTCGACTGGGTCAACTCCTGTTGTTTTTAAATGTGCTATACAGTATAAACATAAACAAACGGACTTGGCTCGTGAGTCGTAGTACTACATAGGGCTACATAAAAGTAAGCTGAGACAATTTGACACACCAAAGTCTGTTTAAAGGTCTTTGGCTGAAGGCCTTCCACTTCAAAGGTGAACAAAGTAGCATAAAGCCTTTTGTAAGTCCAGAGGGATAAATTGCTCCGAGTGTGTCAGCGTCAGTGGGGGTCGAAGACTTCAAGTTTCAAGTGGAGTCAGGAAGAGATGAGCCCACCAGACCTCTGTAGACCGCTCCTCTTCCTCACTGCTTGAGGCGTGCAGCAACACCAGCTGCTGCCAGCATAACACAACCAGCCCCTCCAACCAAGCTGTTGGCAGTCAAGTTGCATTGTGGGTAATGCGCCAAGCTTTCGCAAGAGAGAACATTGCATGGAATAAAGAGGTGATTCTGGTTGTGCTGCATTGATTTCGACCCTTTGTCTTTATTGTCCATGGTGCAGCAAGAATGTTATGCAGTGCGATGTTATATCAGACCAGCCCTCTCAATGGCACACTCTCATGCAATCCTCATAACGTTTTATGAAAGCAACATATATTTTTTACCAGTCCGATGTAGTACTGTATATATAACAAAGGTTCAACCATAGGCATACTAATATACTGCATACACCAGTGTCCTTGCAATATGAAGAAGAAGAAGACGTACTTTATTGAACCCTAAGGGGAATTTCAATTGTCCACTCTATTGTTATTCTACACGTAACACACAGGCTCAATATACAGTAGACGCTGATGCACAAATAGGACTTTTACACAAGCAGTGCCAGGGGGCTGCCTTTGGACAGGCGCCTTGGGCAGTTAAGAGCTTGGTGCTTTGCTAAAGTGAACCTTGCAATGCCCAGAAACTCTCTCTTCTCCAGCTACCAGTCCATTTTCCGTACTTTCTCCATGCAGGGACCTGCTTTCCACTACCCCTACTATACCTAACATTTATATTTATATTTACTCTATTGCATGTAATGGATGTGATCTGCACTCAGTCTTTTGTCACTGACATTGAAAATCTGGACTGTGAACTGTTCTCTGGTTAATTCTTTCTCACTGTCTGATTTGATGCATAATGAGAATACAACTCTCCAGCTGTGTGTGTGTGTGTGTGTGTGTGTGTGTGTGTGTGTGTGTGTGTGTGTGTGTGTGTGTGTGTGTGTGTGTGTGTGTGTGTGTGTGTGTGTGTGTGTGGTGTGTGTGTGTGTGTGTGTGTGTGTGTGTGTGTGTGTGTGTGTGTGTGTGTGTGTGTGTGTGTGTGTGTGTGTGTGTGTGTGTGTGTGTGTGTGTGTGTGTGTGTGTGTGTGTGTAAGAGGGTGAAAAGTGAGGACGATTCTAAGGGCCCCGTGACTGACAGGGGCCCAAACAATTTTAGAACATTAAGAAAAACATTTTTAAGTAACCAATGTGATATCTGTTCATGGGGCCCAAAATCCCTGGTGGCGCCCCTTTGTTTGTGTGTGTGTGTGTGTGTGTGTGTGTGTGTGTGTGTGTGTGTGTGTGTGTGTGTGTGTGTGTGTGTGTGTGTGTGTGTGGTGTGTGTGTGTGTGTGTGTGTGTGTGTGTGTGTGTGTGTGTGTGTGTGTGTCACTTGCCATCCATGACAGTGATAGATAGTCCTGTATGATGGTGCAGTATCAAGTCTAGAAAGACTGCAGAGTCTGCTGTAATACTTTAGCACTGCTAGAGGACCCTTTCACAATAAACCAGGTCATATGAGTCAATTATGAGTAGTGTGTGTGAGGTGTTCAGTAGTGAATGTGAGAGGATTTCAATAGTGTGTGTGTGAGGCTTAATTTTCAGTAGTGTGTGTGTGAGGTGTTCAGTAGTGAATGTGAGAGTATTTCAGTAGTGTGTGTGCAAGGGGAGTTTGAATTTTGGCCTACACGGCCCTTCATAGTCAATGCTATTAGAAAAACTAATGGAGATCTGGGTAAATACACATCACATGCGCACAGAGTCTCACTTTGCCCCCCACACACAGTTTACAAACTATTCTCAACTGTGTCTTACAGTCCTCTCCCAGGACTGTCTGTCTGCAGATTGATGTAAGTGGTTCAATGGCTTGTTGTACAGACATGTATAAAGGGCCACAGTGTGGCTACAGCTCTGATAACAATGTCCAGGCACAAGGCCAATCATCCCTTCTGAGACACCGTAGAAACAAATCCTCTTTCACACCAAGTTTCACCCCCATCTTTGCTCCTGATTGACTATGTTGTGCTGTCTCCAAATAGAAAACACGGAGCTCAGAGGCAGAGATACAGTGATAACCCCTGGAGTGCTGTGAATTCAGTCGGTAGCTCTTAACTACTCGCTGCTAATGAGAGACAATCAGAGGCTTAACCTTCTGCCTACATTTCAGTAATTGCTTTTTGTATTCCAATAAATAGCAACTGTGAATCTGAATTAGATGTGCCTATGTTTGTGTTTCCATTTGTAATGGTGTGCTTAAATTGCTGTATATTAAAGCTCAGTATGTGCGTATATCATCGCATTTGTGTGTGTCCTCCAAAGGCGTGTCACACTAGCAGGGCGAGCAGGAGTGACATGTCCCCGGAGGAGCAGCGCTGGGGTGAATATGGAAGATGGCATTACGACACAATCGACCCCATGTGCTCATGTGCTCCTCTCGACCCCCTCGGATCCTCATCTAACGGAGAAAAAGACAGTGTTGCCCGCTCTTTTACGTCTAAGGCTTCTCCATGTGACTTTATTAACTAGCCGCCCTGTTTTGTTTTTGAACACATTCAAAGCAACACCCTAGCTCTGGAAATGTAACTCACTCTTTGATTCAATTTTCTACTTCATTGATCTGGTGTTCTCTGGTGAATGTGATGTTCACTTAGCGATTTCAAATGTTAATTCGATAAGCCTATGGTTTATGCCAATGCTGCTCAGCTCTGCAGTAATTTCTTCCAGGCTGTGTTGGCACCAGTACTGTGAAATCTTAACACGAAAGATTGTGTTAATTTCAAGCAGAATCAAAGCTAATGAGGCCCTTTCAGGCTCAGGTCAGGGCACAACAGCGTTGATCTCACCGGCCTTGCCATAGGCCAGTGCCCAAACCTTTTTCCAGCTTGGGCAGCTGCTCAGATCCTCACAAGTGCTCGATATGTGTATATAATTGGGTGGTTATGCAGTATCCATGTGGGTATTTGTCTGCAAGTGACATTGTGAGCTTATTATTGCTCCTCTACGCATGAGCCCATGGACACAACACTTCATAATGTCCCTGTCATGCCATTAGGTACTCTGGATGTGCTCTAATATAATGTGACAGTGTCGCGCTGACCCACGTAATTCCTCCCCACTTCGAGTTAATTCACTATACCAATTGTAACCTTAAAATACATTTCTTCTGCTTTTTTCTCTTTCCACTAGTGCTCGTAATGGCAAAATGCGTGCTCTCAGCTTCAAGATGGGATTGGTGAGCTTGTGCAATGCAGACGTCCAAGAGAAGTATAAATGTGGGTCTGATGCTCGCTGATGTGCCTAATGCATCTCCTCAACTGCAAACAATGAGCCAAAACAAAACGGCCCTGATTGCCAGCCTTACATAAAGGCATCCACTTAATCTAATGGAGGAAATGAGTCTCCTGCCTTAATGGAGAAAGCTTTCTTTACTTCTACAAAGTACATGGGGGGGGGGGGATTAAAAAAAGATTGCTTGCCAGAGACAGAATCCATGCACACTCTCTTTCTATGGCTCATTCAACTAGCAAAGAGCTCCCTTTATTTTTGGTTATATTTTAAACCCAGTTTACAAGTCATCGTGTGAATATAGGTAAGAATGAAATGAGAGCATTTGAACTGATGATAGCGGTACTGGAACAGCTTGTAGTTGGTACAAGATCAGAGACATAACTGCCAAACCCACGCCAGGATTATTCATGCCTGGCGTGCCGTCTGTGTTAACTCTTAAAGACTGAGAGATAACAGATTTGCCTTCAGTTGAACGGTCCCTGAGGTGAATCGGCAATCTTTTTCTGGATTTCGGTAGACATGTGGTGGCGTTAACGGTTCGTCATTTCACTGACTGATCCTTTTTTTATCTGACGTCACTGGAATAAAACTGGAATAATATTGTGCAAATACATCTGAAGCATTTATATTAACCCACTTTGAGGTATAGATGGTGGGTGTTAATTTCATCATCAAAAGTCTTTGGCTTCAGATTTTTAAAAGTACTCGATGATACCAGTCATTTTTGGACACAACATTTTTAATTTGATGAGCTTTTACTGAACATTTGCCACCACACAAGCATATTATTGCAGACATCAATATGTTCTGCTTTCACACCCAGTTTCACTTTTGACTGGCTTTTCTCAATTAAAAAAAAACATGGCAGCTGATTAAAATATTTTACAGCCCTCCAAATATATCCACCAAATTAATTTGAAGATATTTGAAGTGTTAACTGGATTCGCACCGTTTGTTTTCTATTACAACGTTTTTGCCATTCATTTATCCAATACTGGGTTCATTATAGTGGTTTGTTTAATTAGGGTGTTCATTTCAGTAAGTGATGGCATGTGATGAACTAAAGGCTTCATACCCAAAACTGTGGGTGTCAAACTCCAATTATTAAATAGAAAAGAAAGGGTGACTTGTGTTCATACTAGTTATCACTGAAAACATATTGAAGCCTTCCCAAACAAACTTAGTAATGGATGTTCTGAAAGTGTGTAGCTTGTGTGGCTAACTATGAATTATATTATCTCCCTGCAGGATTTTCAACATTGCAGGCTGCATGTTTCCGATGTAATAGGCCTATATAACGTGTTAGTGTCTCCATAAAACATGTCCAAAACTAATCTCTATCAAACAGCTCAATGTGAACATTTAGAATGTCAAACAGCCCTCATGAGCTCTGGTTATAGGAGCTCTATAAAGGAGACTGTTTAACATTCAGGTGTTAAAGCCAAGTGTTGTCCCTGTAGGGTTGAGTAAGTACACAGAGAGGGGAATACATGGGATGCTTATACTGGCATTGTGCAGCAGCCTCACACGCCTGTCAGCATTCATCTCTTCAGTGACAGGTGCAGTCCCAGCAAGCTCGGTAAAGGCCTCATTCAAAACCTGACAAGACTCCACTTATGCAGCTCTTTCATCTCCCGGCAGACCAGCCAGGCCACTAATATATATATATAATACTGAGTCTGTCTCAGTGTATAAGTCACTGAAGTGAATTTTATTTCACATAACTAGGTTTGGTAAACTCCATTGCCTGGGATTGGTGACTAATTTAAAAGAATAAATAAATAAAAATTGCATTTGTTGCTGTGTGATTGACCAACTTGGCAAACTTTTCAAATTGTGGACGCCTGCCTAAAATCCTAATTTAAATTTGAAGAAAACTGAAAACATGTAACGCAGCAACACAAATGCCTTATAGTATCAGGTGTAAATGCGTAGAGGAGATGTATGCAGATGTGATGATAATGCAAACAACTGATTTTCATGCATACAAAATGTGGTGCACAGTAATGCAGGTGCTACATTCCTCTATGTATGTTCTGGTGGTTGCAGATTTATTCCGTCAGGTGTCTGGTGCAGGAGGTTTGACCGACCAGCGTCACCTCAGCCTGCTGCTCCATGAAGCCATCCAGATCCCCCGACAGTTGGGGGAAGTCGCTGCTTTCGGGGGCAGCAACGTGGAGCCCAGCGTCCGCAGCTGCTTCCGCGTGGTGAGGACCGAGTTACCACAACGCATGTCTTCCATAAACACAATCACAGATACTAAACACATTATATGGACTAAGGTCAGATGAAATAATCTGTCTGGTATTTGTTGTGATTTCACCCTTACCCCTTTTGATTAGGTAAAAAGAGTTTGAGCATTAATCATATTTTATGGACCTTTTTTTATTGTTTTTTTTGTTTTTTTTAACAGGATGAGTGAGGGTAGAATTACATTACATTCAAGATTTCATAACACCAAGAAATGAATTGGCAACACAATTTGACTTAAATTAGATAGTACCAATTAATACTTCATCCCCACTCATTTTTTTGACAGCCAATTTTGGCAATCACAGATACTAAACACATTATATGGATTTAGGTCAGATGAAATAATCTGTCTGGTATTTGTTGTGAGTTCACCCTTGATCAGGTAAAAAGAGTTCGAGCATTGATCATATTTTAAGATGAACCAACATGGACTTTAGTTGCCCAATGTCTCTGTTAGTTCAGCATAACAACACAAGCAAGAGAGACACTGACCACCACCTGAGAGTGTTGTAAGTCTTGATTGTGCTAATTTCCGGACTTTAATCAATGGCTTGATTGTCGCAACAAGATATTTGGATTCAACCTTCAAATCCCCTTTTTCATTACAGTAGATTGGTGTATCTCAAACCCCTAATCTAATAATTACTGTGGAGGAAAAGTGTCCTCTGGATAATCAGAACAGAACTTGTCTGTGCCAAGAAAAATACAGAAACAGAATTCTAAATGCAGAAACGTCTCCATTAAAAAATGTAACACTTGCCTTTGGATTGTTTTCCATCTAAAGCCAAGTATGAAAGAATGATGATGTTTGCCATTTGAAGACAATTGTGTTTTATTGACATTAGCAGAGTTCAACTCAGAGGACATGGAGAAGTTATTATTACTTTACATAAAGAAGCCCCAACTGCACCACATAGTCTTGCTTCACAATGTAACATCACATTAATATTGCATTGTATTGCTTTCTGATGTAGCCTACATGAAATGCAGTCCGTGGTAGATAATGCATAATGTTTTTAACCATGACCTAACCCCTAATCTGTGGATCATAAATTATATATTAGAATGATAGAAGCAAGGCCAAAGGGTGTAAAGTAGTACATAGAGCAATAGCTAGAGGAAAAATTAACTCTTTGCTTGTTCTGAATGCTTCTGAAGTTGTACGTTTAACATGGGTTGCAGTGCATGCAACTTTCAATTTGGGACACCAGATAATTGAGGAGTCGTTAAGAGCATGCCACAGCTTTTTTGGAAGGTGGCTTAGGCCAAGCTTTTTAACTCCCTCATTTCCGAGGCAGATGCTAATTACACACACTCTTCTCTGGCCCACGCTTGTTATATCTGCTAAAGCTAATTAAAATCAATTCCTTTCTCCATTTGCTCCATGTCAGGGTGTTTAGTTGTCGACAAAATATCCATGTAGTGCAATTTGGGAGTTGACCCATATTCCCACAAATGTCTTTGTTTGAAAATGGGTCACATCAGTTTGGAGATGTGTTGCTAAATTATCTTCTATGCGTTAATATGAATTGACTTGGGACTGAGAGTATTCAGAATTACGCAGTTATACAGAAAATATATGGTTGTTTGTGGAAAAATTATTGGGTGAGAAGTGTTTCTATGTGGATTCTTGTTTCACACACACAGATTATTAAATGTATGGGACTGAAAGCATAGAGTGTTGAAGAATAACTGCATGTTTATCAGTATATTTTTCCATGATGTTTAAATCGTCCCAACTGCTGAGCATAGTCAGTGGCACTTCCAGGTGTTGGGTATGCGAGGAGCTGCTATTTGACCTCACACATGGAGCTGGCTACTTTACTACTAGAGAGGAGCTCCTGCATCCCCCGGAGACTCTATACCTCGTTACACCTCACAGTTTGTGTGATCAGTGCATACACACACACACACACACACACACACACACACACACACACACACACACACACACACACACACACACACACACACACAGACACACACACACACACACACACACACACACACACACACACACACACCACACACACACACACACACACACACACACACACACACACACACACACACACACACACACACACACACACACACATTTATGCTACTCTGCTTGAGCACTGGAGGAAGCCTCGGGGAAATCAACCTCTTAATGCATCTCTGATGCAGACTTAATGAGAATTTAGCACATCACAGATTTTCAGCGCTTGGCTAGTCATTTTTTTATTAGGTTTATTCCCTTTTTATCCCACTTTATCAACAAGGTGTCTGAGGGAGAGGCAGGCTGTATGCTGACACCCATACACACACATACAGTATACACACAGAGTTATGTCTGCTTTGTTTTAGCTTTTTAATTGTTTAAGTAGTTAAAAATATCACAATATATCCCACAGTGTGTCCTATTCACCCTCCCCTTCTCCCTCTTATCTTTTGTATTCTCTTTGATTTCCTAGCTCACTGCTGGACCACCTTTGGAGAGGAAGCACACCTTCTCCTGTCATTACTTTGTGTACCTACCCTGCTGTTGGTCTATATTTGGATTGTTTACAGTCTCCTGCACTTCTTCCCTCCCTCCCTCCCTCCCTCCATCTTCTTTATTTTCCAGGCCCCTGGGAAACCTGCCATCGAGGTGTCTCACTTCCTGGAGTGGATGAGCCTGGAGCCCCAGTCGATGGTTTGGCTGCCTGTCCTCCACCGTGTGGCCGCTGCAGAGTCCACCAAGCACCAGGCCAAATGCTACGTCTGCAAACAGTGTCCCATCAAAGGCTTCAGGTAGGCATTACTTACCATGATCAGAGTGCATCACACATACAAAGAAAAATAACATACTGTATATGTTTAGGATAAACATTTGCAATTACACAACCCAAACAAATTACATTACATTACATTGCATTTAGCTGACGCTTTTGTCCAAAGCGACTTACAATAAGTACATTCGACCAGGAAGACACAACCTTGAAGAAAACAGAATCATATAAGTACATCAGGTTTCATAGAGCCAAACATTTCAAGTGCTACTCAACTGGCTTTAGGTAAGCCAGTCCTTTATTAGTATAAAAGTGCTTCGTTAATAGTTCTAACGCTCGAAGTGGAGTCGAAAGAGATGAGTTTTCAGTTTGCGCCAGAAGATGTGCAAGCTATCTGCCGTCCTGATGTCAAATGTATTAGGTAGGCTACATTTGTACGGATCGTGTGAACAATAAAGGTCTACTCTCTGTAACTTCAAACAAAGGATATGTTATACATGGGTCTTCAACAGGAAGTCTTAAGACTGCATAAGAAAGGGGGTGGAGTAGCTATTTAGTTTAATGATTTATTTCAATGCAAGCAGACTATGTATGGAAACTTTGCTTCTTTTGAATATGTGGCCCTTCAGCTGAAATGCTCCTCTCGAGCTCTTTTCCTAAACATCTACAGACCACCCAAATACTGTGCAAGCTTTTTTGATGATTTTACCGAGTTACTGTCTATAGTGTGTATTGACTTTGACCGTCTAGTCATTGTTGGTGATTTTAATATCCATATTGACAATCCCCAGGACAGAGGGGCTAAATAATTGTTTTGTGAGCTCTATTCCCGTCTATACAATTGTTAAGAAAGAGGTAACCACTAGACGTCACTTAACTGAAAATACAGAGGAAATGTTTGCTCAGATTTGTTCTCCCTCACTTGCCCATCCTAACTTCTCAGTAAATGAGCTAGTTGATCATTTTAATTCTAAAATAACAAATGTCATGGATACCATTGCTCCCATTAAAACGAAGGAAGTATCTAGCAAGAAAAAATCTCCATGGAGAAAAGCCATGACCGTGAGAACAGCAAAAACTGAGTGCAGAAAAGCTGAACGCAGGTGGAGAAAAACAATTCTCCAAGTTGACTTCGAAATATATAAAGAGAGACTCAGCGTCTATAATCAGGAAATACAAAAGGCACGACAATCGTTCTTCTCTGACATCATTACCAAAAATAAAAACAACTCACGTGCCTTGTTTGCTTCCTGTCGACAGACTAACAAACCCCCCAGTGTCAGTAGCTTCAGAATTTCTATCCCCAGGGCCTGCAATGAATTTGCCTCCTTCTTCACTGACAAAATCATGCAAATTAGACAGGCAGTCAGTGCATCAGGTACAGCCAATGTGTTGTCCCTGTGTCCACCTAAAGTCAATCCAGACACCATGACACAATTCCGTCTGATAAATGCTAATGACCGGGAAGACATTATTCAACATCTGAAATCCTCCTCCTGTAGCCTCGACATCATCCCGACAGGATTTTTCAAAACTGTTTTTCATTGCTTGGCCTCAGATATACTACACATAGTAAACAAGTCTCTTCACTCAGGTGTATTTCCACAGGCCCTGAAAACTGCAGTAATTAAACCGCTCCTAAAAAAGCATAACTTAGACACAACCGTAATGAATAATTACAGGCCAATATCAAACCTTCCTTTTTTAAGAAAATTGATTGAAAAAGTTGTTTTTCAACAGTTGAGTAATTTCATGTTTTTAAATGACGGTTTTGATGTGTTTCAGTCTGGCTTTCGACCAAACCACAGCACTGAGACTGTACTTGTTAAGGTCTTAAATGACATCCATTTGAACACAGACAGTGGCAGAACATCAGTGTTAGTATTATTAGATCTCAGCGCTGCGTTTGACACTGTTGACCACAACATATTGCTAGACCGACTAGAAAACTGGGTGGGAGTTTCATCAACAGCTCTAAATTGGTTTAGTACCTTCTTAAAAGACAGAACAAACTTTGTCTCAATAGGCAACTACACATCAACTTTGACAAATATGTCATGCAGGGTTCCTCAAGGCTCCATCTTAGGACCTTTGCTTTTTAATATCTATATGCTACCTCTGGCTCAAATTATTAAAAACAACGATCTAAGCTATTACATTTATGCAGACAACACCCAGATTTATTTAAAAATTACACCGGGAGACTATTCTCCGATTAGAACACTGAGCAAGTGCATTGAGCACATCACTGACTGGATGACTCAGAACTTTCTCCAATTGAACAAACAAAAAACTGAGATCAGTGTTTTTGGAGCAAAGAAGGACCGATTAAAAGTAATCGCAGAGCTTCAGTCGGCAGACTACAAAACAACTAGTAAAGCTAAAAATCTGGGTGTAGTGATGGACTCAGACCTGAATTTCAACAGCCACATTACAACAGTCATTAGGTCTGCTTATTATCACCTGAAGAACATATCTAGGATTAAAAAACTAATGTCACAACAGGACTTAGAAAAGCTTTTATCTTTAGTAGACTCGATTACTGCAATAGTGACAGGGCTGACAAAAAAATCCATCAGAAAGCTTCAGCTGATTCAGAACGCTGCTGCTCGAGTCCTCACTAACATTAAAAGAGTGGATCACATCAGTCCGGTTCTGAAATCTTTACATTGGCTTCAGTCGGCCAAAGAATTGAAAGTAAATATTGTAATATTGTAATATATTGTAAAGTAATATTGCTAGTTTTATCATTACATGGTTTAGGACCAAAGTATATGGTTGAACTCCTGCATAATTACGAACCATCAAGGTGCCTCAGGTCTTCTGGGACGGGTCTGCTATCGGTTCCGAGAGGAAAAACAAAACATGGAGAGGCAGCATTTAGCTGTTATGCCCCGACACTCTGGAACAAACTACCCAAATCGTGCACGTCTGCAGAAACTCTTACTATTTTGAAATCGAGACTGAAAACATATCTCTTTGCCGTATCCCTGTCTTGTGGGTTTCAAAAAAGCATACCTACCTTTATACACACACATACACACACACACACACACACACACACACACACACACACACACACACACACACACACACACACACACTCTGCTTAGCTCTCTTGTATCAGTTCAGCCTTTCTGTATATTGATGTTGGCAGGTATCGCAGTCTGAAGCAGTTCAATGTGGACATCTGCCAAACATGTTTTCTAACCGGCCGCACTACCAAGGGAAAGAAGCTGCACTACCCCATCATGGAGTACTACACACCGGTAAGACAAACATTACCTAGTGCTTTAACGGAATACAAATGTAAGGCTCCAGGGACAAATAAAACTCAGATGATCTTTAAAAAATACTATCTCATGATTCCTGCTGCCATAACTTTTTTGTGCCCCCTCTCCACTGAGATCTTAATCATGTGTGCTGTTACATAGGCTTTCACTGCCTGGACCGTCATAGTATGCAGAGAGTGGCACTCAACGGTAACATCCTTTTTGGCTCACATAGTGCACACATAACGTCCTATTTGGAGCATACATTGTGCACTAAACCCCAATAAAGCCAGAGTCTTAAGCCGTTGCACGCGCAGTCTCCAAAATCAAGTTCACTCCCGAGGAGGAGCTGTAGCGGCAGTGTGTGAACGGACTGAGACGGTGCCAGATTTAATCTCTAATCAATTCTGAGCTGCAAAATATGGCAAAAGGCCATCTCTAGAATTGTTTTTTTTACAGGATAATATTTTATATCAGCTAGCTACAGTTTTTTTTACAGCAGGGAACCAGGCAGGCACCACAATTTATACCATGTTACAGAAGGCAGGAAACGAGTGGGAGAATCTCAAGGAAGGAAGCAGAGAGAGCGGCAGAAACTGAATGAGAAAGCAGATGTCAAAGTAAAAAATAAGACAAAGCATTGTTAAGACAGAGTTGACTAGTTTCATATGAGGTCATTTTAGAGGAACCAACTGTTTTAAAGAATCCTTAAGAGGTGTAATTTGTCTCTCCAAACTTTCTACCTCCGTCACCTCTCACCCCCCCCCCCAACCCCTCGCCACCTTAATCACAACTCCAGACGACCTCGGGGGAAAGGATGAGGGACTTTGCCAAGACTCTGAAGAATAAATTCAGGTCAAAGCAGTACTTCACCAAGCACCCGCAGAGAGGTTACCTGCCAGTGCAGTCTGTACTGGAGGCGGAGAGCACAGAGACGTGAGTCCCACACATAAACACATACATCTCTCTGTCTCTGCTTCCTGTCATCCGTCTATCACGTTCACCCATTCAAACTCCTAGCTGTTGTTGGCTGATTATCATACTCTGACAATTTTGGAGCACTCCTGCTTGCTTAGATGGGTTAAAGCAGGGGTGTCCAAACTACGGCCCGGGGACCAAATGTGCCCCGCAGGCCATCTTTGAATCGGCCCTCAGCTAATTCAAAAAGTATAATGAAATATGACCCACAAATGAAACTTGCGCTTGTTTTATATTGTATTTCCTAAATATATATGTAAACATATATTACACAGTATTCATGTCATCCCACTTTCCAAATAAATTCAGACAATTCAAGTTGAAAACATTTTCTGACAAATCTAAGTTGATGAGAAAAAGCTTATTTACATAACAAGCTTGAAATAGACCCTTCATATTTCCTCTTTTTACAAGCAATCTGAGGCTTCCATTTTAAGGAATAAGCTGCCAACAAAATAAATGAAACCCGATGGAGAGCTGTGATGTAGGTTTTTTTTTTCTTAAATATTTTTCAAGTATCAATCAATTTTCCTAATTTGATTGATTGTGCTAATTTATAACTTAACTGATATGGCAATATACCTCACCTCTAGTGAGTGGCCCAGTCCTTCGTATATTTCTCTGGATGTGGCCCTCGGTGAAAAAGGTTTGGACACCCCTGGGTTAAAGGGACGGCTCTATGTTCAGAATTCATAAAATGCTGTTCCTGAGATCCTGAGGCTCAGATGTCTTATCACATGAGCAAGTTTCACCCAAAGGGTAAAACAAGAGCCATGAGATTAAAATCCATGAGATCATCAAGATGCATAGCTTAGGGCTACGACATTACCCTGGAAGATTTAGAACGATTGTGGCTCCATGTTTTGTCTAATTGTATCTCTGTTAGGTTCACCTTTTCGAACTTCAAACATTATGCGAGTTTGAGATGAGGCGCCAGTGGAAAAACAGACGAATGAATCAAAAGTAAAAGCACTCTTAATGCAGAATGATCCCTTATATTGTAAAATAAAAATATTATTCTAATGTATTATTAATTCAAATAAACTAAGTATATATTCATAACTTATTATCAAATATAAGCGATGCATTTATGTATATGAAGCTTGGATAGGACGATAGTTCCCCGCCTGGAGGCCCCTCAAGGGAGTTCTATTATACATCTGAAAGGCTCTAATGCTATTTATAATATAGGGAAGAAGAAAAGCATTTCTACAACATGAAATGTTTCTCAAGTCTTTGCTTTCTCCTCTAGGATGAAACCGCTAAATGATAACTGAGGCAGGATCTATAGAGAGAGGAGGTCTAGGAAGAGCTTTTTAATAAGGTGCATCATCTAACATTGCAATATAAAGCGTGTCTCCATCAGAGTAGGAAGAAGCAGTGTAGCAGTGGGAAATGAAAGTGTTGAGGTAAAGTACAAGTGCTCTAAAATGTTACCTAATTGCAGCGCTTGCATGAATGTACTTAATTATTTTCCTCCCCTGTGAAACGAGTCGTATCTCTCTTGTTTGCATGCTGACAATCTTCACAAATGAAACTCTCTTCTTCTGGATTATACGAATATGCGTTTTTTTCCTTCCCATTTGCAGAGTAATGACACTGGTTTCTGTTGTTTCCAGGCCGTGCTCCTCACCCAAGCTGCCCCATGCAGACACACACAGCAGGATTGAGCATTATGCCAGCAGGTACGTGGCTTACTGCAATACATCAAACCACTTCACCAGTGTATCTCTCTTTCCTCTCCAAATCAACCTTTCTTTGTACCCACTCCCCCCCTGCTTCCACCTCCTCCCTCCCTGCTGTCTCTGCTCCCCCTGCTCTAGTCTTCACCACACACTGATTGAAGTATTGATTTAGCTGCGTTGTGTCCTGCACTCCAGCCAGGATAGAGACTGTACTGCCCAGCAGCTTCCTTCCCCCTCAAACTCCACAAGAACACACAATGGCCCACATAAGCATGTGTGTGTGTGTGTGTGTGTGTGTGTGTGTGTGTGTGTGTGTGTGTGTGTGTGTGTGTGTGTGTGTGTGTGTGTGTGTGTGTGTGTGTGTGTGTGTGTGTGTGTGTGTGTGTGTGTGTGTGTGTGTGTGTGTGTGTGTGTGTGTGTGTGTGTGTGTGTGTGTGTGTGTGTGTGTGTGTGTGTGTGTGTGTGTGTGTGTGGATGGATGGATGGGTCAGCGGGGTTCACTGTGCCTAGCGGCTTGTCACTTGCTCGGGCAGTGAGCCCATTGGTCACCTGGGAGCTGTTGGTATGGATTAGTGTCTGTATGACAGGTTATAAACAGGGGCACAGCCCTGGACTCTTTCTCTCCTGGAAGTTCAGCCCACAGTGCTGTGGAGCTCGACACACATATTTCCCCTAAGCCTGCAGTGTGTGTGTGTGTGTGTGTGTGTGTGTGGTACGCCATTGTGTATGACTTCTCTTAGGCTCTTACCCTCAACTGCCTTCAACCCTGCCAACACAGAGGGAGCACTCACCACACAATTGTCCCCTTTACCCGTCTTATCTCTTCCTTTCTCCTGTTTTCTGTTCTCCTGATTTCCCTTTTTCATTTTTCGTTCTCATCTTTGATCCCACTCTTCTATAGTTTCCCACCCACATATTTTTCAATCCCTATTATCCCACTTTCTCCATTCTCTCTAGCACTTTCATCCTTTCTACTGTTATATATTTCCTGTTAAATCCTTTTACACGTACTCATTTGTTGCTACAGAATGATTTGCTACCCAGCTATATTGAATCAGAAAAGACTGCAGAAAACCGTATCTGCCAATAGCCTTCAGCAAAATAAACTAAAAGAACAGAAATGCAAATGTAGTCAAAATGGAGACACATTGCCTTCCTTGGCCTGCTGAGACAACACCACTGTATCGCAACGGTATCTTAGCAACTTTACTCCTACAAAGCCTTTCAACTTGTTGGATGTCAGGAAGCCATCTGTGTTTCATAAACATATCTTTTCTCCATATGGATGAGGATCTTTATTGGAGACCTACTTGCTTTCTGGTCATGTCCGAAAATAATCCTTATTTATCTTTTACAAAGACTTTGTAATCAATTAATGAACTGTTTGAATAAAGTTTAAATAATTAATTGAATCAGTTGAAATTGAATTTAGGACTGGAGCATAATGTTTTTCTCATGAAAGCGATTTCTAAGGAAACCCTAGAGGGATATTCTTTACATTTGGCCCGCACGAACCCCTTTATGAACACAGTAGATTTGGGTATCAAAGGGTCATAGTGACCTCACATCCTACTGTCATTGTAAAAGAGATATCTCAGAACTGCATTAGTGGAATTCCTTTAGATCTGGTACAAACCTCAATCTTTACCTTAGGCTGAACTGATTTGGGGTTCAAAGATCAGGGTCACTGTGACCTTTAAGGCCATAACTCAATCAATCAAGCAATATGTTACAAAGTTGGCTCAGAGCGCCCAGCAATCAGTTCAGCTTAAGACACCCTCTGTCCTTTGACCCTTGCAGCGAGCAAGGAACAAATCCCTAAAATCACCAAGTTCCAGCAATAGCAATCAAGGCTCTTTCCCAGGAAGGACAGAGGTGTACAAATGTGGTGTGTAAAGATAAGAACATCATTAAACTACAACATAGACCCTCCATATAACAAAAATGATGTGAACATATATAAAAACATGGATCTACGAGGATGTCAAGCAGCTTTCAGATGTCGGTAACAATAATAATAACTATAAGATATTTCTTAGGAAAGGAAAAGCAACAATAGGAACTCGACAAATATGACTAATAACAAGAATCACAATAAAAACATCTCCAAGAATATGTCCAATAAAATGTTAGTTGCTATGGACATCGACCAAGACCACAGCAAGAGACACAGAAACAATCCATAATCCAGACTTAAACTCGGCAAGATGTAAGACAAGAGGCAGAACAACTCTGAAGATGTTGCCCCGGTGACCGAGTTAATAACATGTACTTATGGGACATGAATGCAAACAGCTAGACAGGCAAAGGAGGAGAGACGAGATCTTAGCCTATCGCTGCATACTGTCACTATGTTAGAGAAAACTCAATCATTAATATGCTAATCATAACAATTTCTCACAGACGTGTAGTAGGATAAAACTAGAGCCAATCTAGCATCATTAGCATCACCCCCCTTCTAATATGCCTTTACTCAGACCCCACCCATCTTCAAACTTGACCTTTGTTTTTGGTCTCCACTACACCTCTCCTGACTGAGTGACTGCATCTTTTCTATTGTTATCTGTTACTCTCTGCCTAAAGACCTACTACTGAATATTTATAAATGGGTCATGAATGCCTAATTTCATTTTTTTCTTCTGGGCACTGTCACTTTTAGTTATTGTACCCAAACAGAATTAAATAGTGATTTTGTTTGGGACTATTTTCAGCCACAGATCTGGTGCTATAGTAAGTATTTTTGGCGGCAGGAATGTGTATCTTGGATTAACTCTAAACGAAGAAGAAACATGTCATGCCAACAGTGTGGCTCATTCAAGTGTTTTTTTTAAATAATTGTAGACAACAATGGAGCTCTTTGGCATAGAAGCATGTATAAGCTGTATCGTAGGCTTAGCTATACAGCATATTTGTTGACAGCTTTTATCCAAAATGCATTTTCTACTAGCTCTCTCTCTTTCCCTCTCTCTGCCTCTGGCCTACATACCTGTTAGTAATTATAGGATATAAAGGGAGAAATCTAATTTCTTATTTGAATTAATTCCCCGTATTTATTGCAACTCTGCGCTGACTTTGAACTCACATCACTGGCAGGTTAGTGCAGGAGTGGCCAACCCGCGGCTCCCGAGCCGCATGCGGCTCTTTGCCCAGTCTCATGCGGCTCCTCAGTTCATATCGAATTTTAATTGTGTTTTGTTTTGTTTGCGCATATGTATCCCAGTTCACAAAGGGTTAACAACACACAAGTTCCAGCCCAATCGTTATGTCTTATATGTCTTAAATGACATGATGAATTGGAAATGGGGGACCCTGATGTAAACAAGACGAAAGTCTTTCTCTGGTCTGCATCCCCTTAACAATTGTATGTTTTGAGCTGTACTGTACTGTACCCAATATACAAGCTGTTAATAAACTTTTCAATCAATCAATCAATCAACACAGAGTTTTCAACAAAGAAGTGCTTTAGCCAATCAAAATGCAGATCCTGCAGTACTGGAGGCGGGCTTTACTGCACTCGCGATGTGACAGTGAAGGGAGAGATCTGCTTCCGATTGGCAGAAATATAACTCAGATAAAACCGTAATAACTCAATATAATGTTGTCAAATCAAAACGGTAACAATTTGCAGTTGTATATGTGTATGTGAGAAGGCCTGCTCCCGGAAAGCTGGCTGGCACAGAAGGGCTCCCGAATTTGGTGATTCGCGGTAAAGAAATAAACAAGAGAGAAAGTGCATCTCTGTCAGCAGAGCTTCTGTCAGTCAGAGGGTTAGGTAAAAGTTGAGATGTCATGTGAGGAGAATTAACAAAAATACACTTTATTTATTTTCATTTATTTTTAAATAACTGTCATGAATCTGTGTGTGAGATACAGACAGGGAGAAAAAACTCGCAAAGATCGCAAATGTGCCCTTTCATGCATTTGAGCCCCTTCCACATCCTCTGCACATTTCAAGAAGCAACATGCATAGTAAGATAACTACTTTTTTCAAATGTTTTTAACTGAGAGTTTGTGTGTGAGACACAATATGAATGGTTGACTATAACTGGCCTCTGGTCTTAATACTGGTAGGAGAGGTTTAAGTCAATTTCTGTCAATATCATGGACTGTGACATTTATAGGAAATCTGGCTGAGCGGAGGTATGTGTTTCTGTATGTGAGTGTGTGTGTGTCAATTATTGTTCATTTTTAGATTTTCATTTTGTATGTGTGAGAGATAGAGAGGGGCACATAGAGGAAGAGAGTGAGGGAGCACACAGAAAGGCTGAGAGCAAAAGAGAGAAGGAGAGAGAGGTCGGGGGACATACACCCAGCATGTACTGTATGATGTGGCTCTTTGCAGTAACACAGGACAATTATTGGCTCTTTACCTCTGATTGGTTGGCCACCCCTGGGTTAGTGTCTGAAATTCTTCCCCTTGGGGAGACATATCAGAGAGAGGTGTGTGTGTGTGTGTGTGTGTGTGTGTGTGTGTGTGTGTGTGTGTGTGTGTGTGTGTGTGTGTGTGTGTGTGTGTGTGTGTGTGTGTGTGTGTGTGTGTGTGTGTGTGTGTGTGTGTGTGTGTGTGTGTGTGTGTGTGTGTGTGTGTGTGTGTGTGTGTGTGTGTGTGTGTGTGTGTGTGTGTGTGTGTGTGTGTGTGTGTGTGTGTGTGTGTGTGTGTGTGTGTGTGGAGAGAAAGCTAGCTGAATGGCCGGTGGTGGCTAGGTTAAAGAAGTTAAAGTAATGGGGGTGTTTGATGTGAGAGAAGCATCCAACAAGGTGAGTCCTCAATCTGGAAAGAGTGGTCCGTGTTTTTTGTGTGTTTACAAGTCTTATTTAGTGCTCACATCTGAGTGAGCTATCAACCTCCTTCACTCAGATATTTGTGTGTGTGTGTGTCAAATTACCAGCCAATGGTACGTGGTAGCAGTAATGTAGTCTCCAGTCATATCGAGGGAGAACTTCTTGATTTTTGAGGTTAGGAAAACCAGATATGCAGGCATGTCAAACACTGAGACAGTCTGTCTCTTCCTCTCTATCTCTCTCTCCCCCCCCCCATATCGATGTAGGAGTGCAGTTCACTCCTTTCATCATCAGCGCTGCTTCGACATCTTCTCTAGGATGGAGGAGAGGAAGATAATAATAAAAAACCTCTGTAAGGATGTGTCCCCTCTTACCCTCGTTTCTCTCTCTTTCTTATTTGATCTCACAGCTGTTTTCCTTCATGTAGGAGGCTACACATGTATGCACAAGACCTCAATACTTTCTATGACTTCCTGCCCTCTCTTTCTTTGTTTGCTGGTGTCCCTGTCTGGGACCCGAATTATATCACACAGCCCCTCGTCCTCCACAATGTTAATTGGCCTACAAGCTATAGCGATCTTTGTTGATAGTTTGCTGCTCGTAGACGTGTCCAGGCGTCTCCCCCGCACACTTTCAAGTGTGTTCTGTCGCAAGCGGGCGGCAGGAGTGGGGGCTGTCGGCATCAGCAGTGTGCTCGGATTGTATTGATGGTATTTTAAACTCGATGCGCTCTGAAACTACGGGGCGGCCGAGGACAAAAAATGCACATGCGTTAAAATAATTAGTGGCGTTATTAACGCGTTAACTTGACAGCCCTAATATCTATATGTATGTATGTAGATCTATCTAGGCAGCCACAAGGCTCCCCACATATCACAAGGTTCTCTCTGCTGGTTGATTACCTAATTTGAAGGAGAAACCCACCCTTTGATTGTCTAACACTGTTACATATCATTAACATGTCATAGACAGAGGACTGCAGCAGATGGTGATACATTATTTTGTAGTATACCCAATGTTACTTAACCTATATCTTCTTTAGATCATAACCTCCTACATCTTCTTTTGAAAGGCATCAGAGGACGTGTGACCCTGTTCATTCAGAAGTGAGCTGTAGAGTTGAGGACTCAAAGATGATAGTGATGGAGAGTGATGGTTTTATCCCTTAAAAGTAAACAAGAGGAGTGATAAAACATGGCTACTGATATTGGTGCTGTTGTATTGACCCAATGCTAAGTGAGAAAAACACCTAAGCAAAGAAAACACTACTTACAAGAAGGGCACTCAGACAGTGCAGTCATACCGAAAGGATGTGCCGTTAAACAAAGCCTGTATCCACTTTCAAATGGAATGGGATTTATTTCTACTGCATGTTACATCTCTCCACCAAGTTTCAATACAATTGTGCCAGTAGTTTTTACATTTTCCTGATAAATAAATTAAAAAACAAACAGAAATCATAGCCTAATTGGTGAAGGTAATAATTGTAGTAAACATTACTTCATTGTTATTATTAAAGCTAATATGAGTTTAGATTATTAGTGTACTAGTCATAATCACCAAAGAATAACAGCTGCACAGCCAAATGAGTGAGGTGCAAACAACTGTTGGATGTCACCTCTAATATAGAAACATAATTACCCAATTTATGAGAGTGTGAGACGCAATCCTAAATCATTTAAGTGTAGTTTAGGTGTTCAACTACTTTTGATTATTTAATATCCTTATCAGAAGCCAAAATATCCACTTTCGCCCTTTTTAGCTATGTTGTCAATCCTATGGGGCTCCATATCTATCCAATGTATTTAGTTTTGAAATATGAAGTAAATAGACTTTGCTTGTGCCTCTCATTCTCACACACACACACACACACACACACACACACACACGATTCTCAGTCCATTCACTGTTCTTTCATTGTTTTTAAACAAACAACCATTTTTCTCTCAGTAATGATATTTTTCCAGCTGTGATCTTTATTTGTGCCATATAAAGAAGCGCAAGTATTTTCAAAACACTTGAGATGTTCTCCCCTACTGCAGCTTGTTTATGAATGTGTTATAGAGCAGCACCCACAGGGAAACAGTCAGCAGGACATAGTGCAGAACTAAAGGAGCTGTCCCTGGTCCTGAAAAGCCACACAGCAGCTCGCTCTCTACTCACACACACACACACACACACACACACACACACACACACACACCCACACACACACCCACACACACATACACAATCGCTAACTATGGAGCTCTTTGGCAAAGCAGTTAGCAGCGTTTTTGCCTGAATGCTGATAGACAGTGCGCAGTATTGTATCAATATGTTATCCTCCCCTTCTTGTGGACACTTGTATCGATCATACTCTTTGTCAAGTAAATGTCTGCAGTCTTGTTGATCAGATGTTTGTGGACAGCTAGCTGTTTAGTTGCAGTCCATAACTCGAAAATGTCACAGGACTTAGTAAACTGAACTAATTGTTAGTTGTATCATGTGCTTAAGGATATAAAGCATATTTCCCCTCTAGAGTATCTGTAGCCTTTTCCTACATTTAGTCTGAGTCATCCTGCCTTTCTCTTGTAGGTGTCACTTAATGCCCTGTGTGTGTGTGTGTGTGTGTGTGTGTGTGTGTGTGTGTGTGTGTGTGTGTGTGTGTGTGTGTGTGTGTGTGTGTGTGTGTGTGTGTGTGTGTGTGTGTGTGTGTGTGTGTGTGTGTGTGTGTGTGTGTGTGTGTGTGTGTGTGTGTGTGTGTGTGTGTGTGTGTGTGTGTGTGTGTGTGTGTATCTATAGATTGGCGGAAATGGAGAGCCAGAATTGTTCATTCTTCACCGACAGCCTGTCTCCTGATGAAAGTCTGTGAGTATGCTGCACACCCCACACTACCCCACCACAACAACCACAGCGTTTCATGTCGATTATGTGTGTGTGTTTTGTGTGTACAGTCTGTCCTCTTGAAACCTTGATTGTGTCTGTGTTTCTGTGTGTGCTCAGGCTTGTGCATGCATGTTCCACTGTTAGGGAGAAATTGGGTGACGTGACATAAATAATCAGCCGCATAATGAAAAGGACACACAGCGAGAAAAGTGTGCACACAGTGCCCTCTCATGCACATGCCTGCTGTGAGTAAAGTCCTTGGCTGTGGGTTGATACACAAAACCCCGCTGTGTGTGTGTGTGTGTGTGTGTGTGTGTGTGTGTGTGTGTGTGTGTGTGTGTGTGTGTGTGTGTGTGTGTGTGTGTGTGTGTGTGTGTGTGTGTGTGTGTGTGTGTGTGTGTGTGTGTGTGTGTGTGTGTGTGCGCCTGCCTTTAGAAAGCTAGATGAATGGCAGGTGGTGGCTAGGTTAAAGAAGTGAAAGTAATGAGGGGTGTTTGATGTGAGAGAAGTATCCAACAAGTCCTCCATTGAGAATGGTGGAAAGCGCCAGGTGGAAAGAGTCGTCCATGTTTTTCTTACAAGTCTTATTTAGTTGATATCTGAGTGAGCTATCAACCTCCTTCACTCAGATATTTTTCATTTTTGTATTGAACTTTAAAGTCAAGGTAGCATGCCCTGCAGCTCCATGCAAAGTGGTATATGATCTTTTAGGGCTCTAGTGTGTGTTTTGTGAAGTGTGCTCATTATTTATTTTCAGACGTGACTTATGTGTGCGTGCTGTGAGTGAAGCCTGAGCTTGACACCACATTAAAAGCTAATTTGAGGTTGAGATAAAACTGCATTATTTCAGTCGGGGAAACACTTTTAAGAATCCGTGCCTCTCAAGCCTGCTCACAGTGTCTTAGTTCCCATGTGTACGTATCTAGAGTTTTGCTTGGGTGGAGCGTTGTCACAAAAATGTGTATATCAGTGCATGAAGCTGTTGTATTGTACTGTCTGTCTGTAATTTGATGCCTGGAAGTTTGTTTGAATGCATGACACTTCACTTCTACCCTTTATGTGTAGTGGTGCTGTTTTACCCTCATGTGGCCTTGTGTCTTGTTCTTTTTATACTACCAATCCGTCCTTCTGTCTGTCAGAGCCTCTCTGTTTTTACTGCTGCACGGCTCTGAACATGCTGCTGTGCTATCTGTGCCTCCAGCTGCGGTTTGGCTGGCCTCATGCTGTTTTCTCTCCTGGATCATGCCGCCCGTATGTGTAGCCTTTACCCGTCATCTGTGTGCATTGTGCTCAGTTCACAGTCTGCCTATTGCTAGGATACAGACATTAATGAATCAATCCTTTAGATGCAAACATCAATGTAACCTTCAGTCTTCCATAAGTGGGTCATGCATTTTATTATAATAGAAATGTAAATGTTGTGCATAACAGCTTTCAATTCAGTGATATGAGATGTTCTGCATTAAACCATTTTATCAAATGAACAACGGAGGTAAGTGGTGATGTGAATGACCAAAGTAAGAAAGACATTAAAAAAATAAACACCTTCAGGTTTCTTCTTATAGGAAATGCTGAGACATTTTGTCATAAACAAACAGACCGCCGCATCATCAAGTTTGACCGAGGTTTTCTGCAACTGATATGGATCTGGCCATCTCTAGACATAACCAGTCTGCTTTAAGTAGGCCTATAAATACCAATGGGATGTATAATGTGGCATTACAATTCAAAGCCTATAACTTGTTTTTTCAATAGATAATTTGCTAATAGCCCAAAGCATTATTGGAACATATAAATTGACAAACAGCTGTCTTTCCATTAAAAATAATTGCATTTGCGGTTTTACAGCCGTATGTCTGCTCTCAAACAGACATCTGAACATTAAGTTTTCCGTTCCATCGTCGATAAAGTTTTTATTATTTGGGCATTATATTGTGATGTAGCGTAACCATTTTGAATAAAAGAGAGTGGGATCTTAGTGTGGTGAGCCAAGTTTATGACCGGCCATTTAATATTTGGACTGGGAACCTTGCACAATGCATTTGTCGTAGTGTCCCGTCCCTGTCTGTCTGGTTTTGTTTGATCGCGTCTCGTCCTGTGATACCTCTCCTCGTCCTGCTTGCCTTGCCTTGTTTGGCCCCTGGCTCTGCTTTGTGCTGCTGGTGGCTGTTTGCTGGTGGCTCAGTGTGCTGTCTCCTGTGTGGGGGACTCAGGGATGAAGATCAGTACCTCCTGCGTCACTCCAGCCCAGCCCTGGACCATGACTCCCCCTGTGGACAACACATGCTGCTGGCCCACCTGGAGCACCAGGACCAGGAGCAGCTCCAGTGCACCCTGGCCCGCCTGGAGAACGAGAACAGGTCTGTGTCCGGGAAAACAAACAAAAACATGTGATTTAGGACATTGATTCGGAGCGAGTATCCTTTCTTTCTTTCTTTGTAATTAAAGTTTTTATTTATGAACATACATGGTACATAGATCACATGGTACAGCATACAGAAAGAGGAAGGTCAGGCTACAAAACATGTTAGTTAAGTGTTCTTGGTTAAAAGAAAAGGTGTGCGATTACCAATCAGACACTACAGCTTTAATAAATAAAATAATAACAACAAATGATGCTTGATTAGAATAATTGTACAAAGGCCCTTTTGTGAGAGTCCTGAGTATCCTTTCTTGACTTGTTTAGGTGTTGGAGTTGCACTCACATTTGCTAACATTCTTATGCAAACATAAGAAAATGGTGTTGATGGGATTATAGATAGCAGGGATGTTAACATTTCTTGAGGGGGTTATTTCGATTTGTTAAGCTCCCCAAGAAGCATAATAAAATAATCTGTTTGTTTACGCAGATCCATTAAACTTCTTTATTTTTGCCTCTGCTAATATTTGCCTACCTTCACACACTAAATCCCAGTAAACAGTGTTAGGATAACAAAACATATTTTCTGTCTGAATACCTGACAGTGAAGGCTGAAAAATATTGTGTTGATAACATAATTATACTTCACCTTGACAGTGTGTTGGTTTCCTGCATAGAGGGAGGGAGAGTACATTACAGGTTTCCTAGTCTGATGTAAAGCATCTCTGAAACACATTTAGTTTAGATTTGAATGATTTAATTTGAATGTATTGTGCCCTACTTGCTAAGAGGCTCAGGCATTTTGCATAAATGAAGCTAATTAATTTCTCCTGTCTGGCTAATTGGTTACCAGAGGCAACCTTTATGCCAATGATTCATATGAATATTTTTCTCTTGTCTCCAATTTGGTTGTGACCTTAACACACACAGGGACATCCAGCTACTTACACACTGACATAAATACACTTCTGCCCTTTGGGTGTCTGAAACCTTGACCCATTTCAGTTATGATACTGCAGTGGGCTCCATTGTCCTTATTTATGACTATGGAGGCTGCTGTGACTTATTTATGTCCTCTGCTGTGGCTCCTATGTGGCTCATACCTGAACAATACACCAATTCAAGAATCAATAATAACCTTAACCCTTTGCTTCTTTGTTGAGGTCCTGGCTCTACTTTAACAGCTTAGAAAATATATACTCAACATTGTTTTATCAGCCTTATACTTTATCCTTTTCTCCAGTTGAATAGCTTTTCATATATTGTGTTACAACAAGGTCAGAAGAAAACGAGACAAACAATGTAAAGGATGAAAAATGTGTCAATTATTTTGTGCTTAATCACTGAGGAAAATCACTGAGGAAGTAAAGCCGTTGTCCATGAAAGGGTTTTGTCCACTGGGCGTAAGGATGACCATGATATGTGCAGGTCTTTAGCAATGCTTCACAGCACAGAACATAATCAGATGATACCCTTCATGTGAGAGAAGGAGAACAGTGATTTATTGCAGCTCGTGTTCAAAATGAGGATGGTTTTATTAATATGTATGCATGTGGTGAAATGACTAATTATATAAATGACACGCATGTCAGGTCATTACGTGTAGTCAGGTGGAAGCTGGGTGAATACCTTCTGCTTGGTTTATGTGTTTTGCATGCTGACAGTTTTCCCTCCATCTGTTCTGTGGGTCCTCAGGGTGCTGCAGAGCGAGTACAGGAGGCTCAAGTGGAAGCACGAGGAGGCGGCGTCTGTTCCCATGCTGACCGAGGCCGGAGAGGGCGGCCCAGGTTCACCCACCGAGGGGGGGTCGCAGGACGAGGAGCTGCTGGCCGAGGCACGGGTCCTCCGGCAGCACAAAACGCGCCTGGAGACCCGCATGCAGATCCTGGAGGACCACAACAAGCAGCTGGAGTCGCAGCTCCGCAGGCTGAGGGAGCTTCTGCTACAGGTACCCCTCTCTGAGAGGCACAGGGGTGGGGGGTGGAGAGAGACGAGCACTCATACAAACATGTTACTGTACTTTAGGAGAGTTAGAAGGCACTTGCTTTCTAACACGAATCCACTATGTTCCAGAGGGAAGTATTGTACTATTTACTCCACCGCATTTATTTTGAAGCCATAGTACTGTACCTATTTTGCAGATTCCAATGTTGATGAACCCTTGTAGTTTATTTTATAATTGTGTACTTTTCTGGAGAGAAAAAAGTTCTGTCAAGCTCAGATTGGGCTAGTTTTATTGATTCCTTCTTCATTTATTATTGAATACTTTATTCAGCATTCATTTTGAATGGTGAGTATGTTTGTAAGTCGACAGATTAAGTATTTTTTCATGTTGACCTGAAAGGCTCTGGTCTATGTCTAGGTCTATTTTCCATATAGTTCTTCTATATAGGAAACTATTGGGATTTGTCTAAGAAATAAAGGGCCCATAAATATAACAATACTATGAGTTGCTCATGATAAACTCAGCCCTGTATACTTGAAATAACTTCCTTTGGCCAGTTACAAATATAATATGCTGCTAATTTTAATTCATCAATAATAGTGAGAAAATACTTATGTATGTAGTAGCATACAAAATAATATAACACCCTTTAAGTATCAATTATGTATACTGGTTACTTTTGATAAGTAAAGTACACATTGATGGTCATACTTCTGTACTAACCTTACTGTGAGTGAGATGTAAAAGAAGAAATACAGGTTTAAGGATAATACATCTAGAAATAGGAGAATAATAAGCCTTTCACATTGCTCATTCACGTAGATCAGGGGTTCTCAAAGTTTTGATGAGTGAGGGCCAATTTAGGTACCCAATATTGGATTGAGGGCCGCCCAAGAAAAAACGGAACACAAAATAATTCCAAAACAAATCCTTTCTTTATTGTACTAACCAATTACCGCAACTCGAGATGCCTAGTTGCCATGCAACCAGTAGTCTAGCAAACTTTCCACAAGCTGTCATTCATAATTTAGGAATGACAACCCAGGGGGCGCAGTTTTACCATTCTTAACCATCTGGAGTCTAAGGGTATTTTCTCGATTTTTAGATGTTTTCTTAAATCACCTTTTAAATGTATTTCTTCTAACATGGCACCCCATGTGTTCAATATCAAAATGTTCAGGACAATCTCTGGTCTTGCTATATATGCATATTGCTCACCTTAGAGCACTGTTTGATGAGATAAGTAGCTCAAAAGCTTAAAATGTGAAATCCGATTTTTGGAAAATCTTCAAAACTCTTGTGAAAACACAAATGTACTCATGTGATCGAATTGTTTTGGTGTTTTAGATTTGGTTACCAAAGTCTTAGGATCACAAAAGCAGTGAAATATTTGAATTACACTGTATATAAATGTGTTATTCATGTCTAAAATGAAAAACATTAAATTCAAATTTTTAGTAAAATAGGTGTTTATCACTCTACTTTCACCACAGCAGGGACTGAGATACATTAGGACTGAATAATGACTTCATATTACATACCAAGGTTCATGTGATGTGTACAAATACAAATTGAGCATTCAACCTTTTTTTTTCAACCAACAATTTATTATAAATATGTTTTTTTCAACCAACTATTTATATAAATATAAGAAACTGGAAAATCTCACTATTTACAATATTGAACATCAGAACTTTCAACCAACTATTCATTATAAATGTCAAGACAGTGTCAAGGTCTTTGTCTGTCTTCCAAGACAGTGGGTCTGGCTGCTGTGTAGGTGGGGTGTACAAGTGCTATACGAGACCTCCACGAGACCTCCTTGCTGGCTGGGTTGAAGGTGATGGCTGTGGTGGAGCCTTTGTGCTGAGGTGTATCTTGACCTGGTGGAAGCCGCAGATGGAGGTGGAGGCAGCTGTAGTGATGCTGGTCTGCTGGTCCTTGGTGGTGATGGCTCTGGTGAAGGCCCTTGAGCCACGGTAGATCTTGACCTGGGGGCAGGCACAGATGGATGTTCTGGCTGCTGGATAAACGCCACCACCTGTGGGCCACTAGGCCCAGACAGCTGTGAAACATCTCTGTAAAACAAATTAAAATGTAGGACAATAATTACAACTAATTTCATTGTAAAATGTTGCTCAAGCACAAATAACAATGCACACATACAAATAAAGTTTGGGAGGTTGCAGAAGGAGTCTCTCTCGATCTCACACACACACGCACACACACACAGGTATTTCCAGTTACTTTACATTCAGTATAAAATCACAGACACACATATACATAGGCTACATCTGATTACAAAGTCTCATCAGTACAGGACGGTAAAATAATAACAGGCACACATATAAATAAATCTATGACAAAGTCTCATCTGTACAGAACAGTATGATAAAATAATCGATGGCATAAACATGTCACTGTAAATGTCTCCGTTGTGGGACGAATACATGATTAATTTAATCATCTACACATGTAATCTCACTTTTACACACCACAATAACGTTAACACAGAGTAAACGTTTGCAAATGGAGAGTCTATTTTGTCCCAATAAAAAGTTCATGACTATCGATAGAAAATATATATCAATAAACCTATTGTTCATTTTCGCGGTATTCCCCACACATTGCCAGTACACTATTACTGTAATATTTCCACTTCATGATGAATTGGAAATGGGGGACCCTGATGTAAACAAGACGAAAGTCTTTCTCTGGTCTGCATCCCCTTAACAATTGCATGTTTTGAGCTGTACTGTACTGTACCCAATATACAAGCTGTTAATAAACTTTTCAATCAATCAATCAATCAACACTTACCCATGTCCAAATGGATCCTTGTTGTTGTCTTTGTATTCTTCAGAAGAAGAAGAGTCGAAGACTTCAGGTTCTGAGGCTCTATTTTCACTGCTGCTAGCGAAATAAATCTCTAGCGAAATCGAAATTTTTAGCCATTTTATCTCTCTCTCTTCTCGTATCTATCTCCTACTCATCTCTTCCTCTCTCTCTCTCTCCTCTCTCTCTCTCTCTCTCTCTCCTCTCTCATCCTCTCTCTCTCTCTCTCTCCTCTCTCTCTCTCCTCTCTCTCTCTCTCTCTCTCTCTCTCTCTCTCTCTCTTTCTCTCTCCTCTCTCTCTCTCTCCTCTCTCTGTAAACTGATAGGAGACACGTGGTTTATGTTTTGTTTACTTGGTGGGTAGGCCCTTAGTGATTTCTCGATGTCCATTGGTCATTTCAGACCATGATGGCTGCCGGCCGAATTTCCTTGACGGACACACAAATCCACCAATCCCACACAGTGTAAAGTCAAGCTGCTTTGAGCAGCCATATTGGCTGCTGTGCCCTGGTTACAGTCTCACAGGAGATACCGCTGGAAAGCTACTCATTCTAATTCTTACTAGATACAACCATGGAGGATTAAAATATAACGCATGCATTTCAGCGTGTCACATTAACTATCGCGGGCCGCCAGAAACATTTCCGAGGGCCGCCATTGGCCTGCGGGCCGCACTTTAAGAACCCCTGACGTAGATGGATCAAAAGAGTAACGCAAAAGCAATCAGGTTGTTTTTAAAGAAGTATTCCACCTTTCTCTGAACACAGTGGTATTAGTGCTTGCTTTATCTGAGCAGCTTACAGTCTGTGAAACACAGCATCCACTGCATCTGAGTGCTTTTTCCACTTACTTCTGTTAATGCCTTCTCCTCTTTCGCTCCTCCATTTTGTGAGATCCTTATGTGGAGATATGATATTGACTTCCATTGCTATGGAAGATACGCAACTACATGTCCTGATAAAGCCTGGGACTATTGACGTGCCCTATTAGGTTCTGCCTTGCTGAAATTAATACTTGGTTTTGAATGTCCAAAAGGGCCCTACATTTGAGCGACTCAGAATCCAAGATATTTGTACTACTTTTGGCACTAAAACGTACTATCTGAACACTCTTTTCTCTAGTCTGCAAGCTATAAGTAATACTATTTAAACAGAGCCTGTAATCTCATCTATATAAATTGGTATGAATCATTTATTTTACAAAACTCTGCTGCCAAACTTGAACTACTTTATAAGACAAGCAACAATATCCTTGCTGCACTTGATTTTAAGATTGCACTGCCTGTTTTAAAGTCTTGCTAGGTCCCGCTAGTGTCTCTGATGTGCTATGGTGTAAGACCAAATTCCCCAATGAAATAAAGTACTTCACCCTCCCTTATTCCGTCGCTGCCTTAGATCCTCTGGCGAGCTACAGTAACTACTGGTTTCTAAATCTTGACCTGCTGCTAAAGGTGACCTAGCCCTTAGTGTCCGGGGCCATCCGCTGTATAGCAGAAGTCACTGTCTGATAAACACTGAAGGTCAAAAGTTTGATAGCCACTTATCTATCACAGCAGCATCTGGTCCGTTAAGGGGGTTTGATGAACTGCATCAGCTTTATTTCTAATGTGTTACTGAACTGGAGCTGCAGCTTGAATAAAGGGCACAGGAAGACAGAGACTCAATGACTTTCAACATTTGTATGCATCACAGTGCCTACAGCACAGTGCGTATCATACATTGTGTATACAAAGGATGGAATGGCGAGATGGAAAAACCATTAGTGGGAAATCCAAAATGTACAGTACAGAAAGAGTTATGAAAGAGGATAAGCCTTAAGACGTCAAATAAAAGGATTCACTGCACTCTAAGTCTAAAGGGCAGGTATGGATATGAGAGTGGGAGCTGACACACACAGTAGCTGGGTTCCTATATTAAGAAAGTGTCAATTGTTAGCCGTGGGAGTAGATGTAAATTGTGCATGTAGGTCTCTAAGTAAAGAAAACAAAGCTAGTGAATGACAGGGGAGAAAGACACTGAGAATGAGAGACGAGTGCATTTTCTTCAGGTTAAAGATGTGGACATTTAGAGTAAAGAGAAATAGGAGGTACATATTCCTGTTTTGGTTTTTTTAAATATGTTTTTTTCTTTTATTTCATTCTTCCAAGACCAATATCACACTTTAAATTCCTCTGAAAATAAAATCAGAAAAACCTCCTTGTAGTTTGGAAGTGTTTATGTATGAAATCTTTACAATCTCTGCAGACCCCAAATTTCACTGCAACAACTGAACTACCTCACCCCCTGGATATTGCTGCTATGTTGCTTACAGAAATACAAAAGATAGTGAGTTTGCATATACATGATATTTGGGAATACTGTATCCTCTAGAGAGCTACGTTATACTGTACATCTCTGACTGTGATTTGAGACCTCTCTGCCTCTTTCTGCAATAATGCTGTGTGCGGTGCAGTGTAATATCTTTTGCATCTGTCTATCAAAGCTCATATCACAGTAATTTTCAGATTTTGTGTAACAGCTGTTGGGCATAATATCCTTATTTTAACTAATTCTGCTCAGAGATGCCAGGGCTGCTGGCTGTGTGTCATTAACTATCACATTTATTACTTTGTGAAAGGCTAAATGTCTCCGTAGCCTCCAACATGATGGATATTAGCAATTATTCGGAATGAATGATAATCAGTCTTTCCTAAAAAACAGCCCAAAGATGACTCGGAGGCCAACGGTTCAGAGCCGTCGACCCTGTCTTCTCCCGTGTCTGGTGGGGGGGGTCACCACGGAGAGCATGCGAGCAGAGAGACCACCGACACTGAAGCAGCAGGTCAGCGACGAGCAGCCATTCTCTGATGTTGTGCACGCATGCACACAGTGTGAAACCATGCATCCTCCCCTCCTACCCCCCACAACCTCTTATAGACGTGTAACCTTCTGTGTGCAGTGGTGCAGTCACCAACTACATTTACTCAAGTACTGTACTAAAGTACAACTTTGAGATACTTGTATTTTACTTAGTATTTAAATGTGTTTCTATGTTTTACTTCTATTCCACTGCAAATCAGAGGTGAATTGTGTACTTTTACTCCACTGTATTTATTTAATACCTTTAGTTACTTTACAGATTTGGATTAAGCATTTGAAATATAATCAACCCTTAAATAAGACTTTAATCATGGAGAAACATTCACAAGCTACCCTGCAGCATACAAAGTCATTCAAACTAGCTTCACCTTTACCAGCTTTGATAAACACATTAATGCCTCAATAATTATAATCAAAAGATATAATATATAATTCTGAAATCGGCCATTTGCTTAATGAGTACTTTTACTTGAGTAACATTTTGAATTCAGGATTTATAACTTGTAACAGAATATTCCTACACTCTGGTATTTCTACTTTTACTCAAGTACAAGATCTAAATACTTATTTGGTGTGTGTGTGTGTGTGTGTGTGTGTGTGTGTGTGTGTGTGTGTGTGTGTGTGTGTGTGTGTGTGTGTGTGTGTGTGTGTGTGTGTGTGTGTGTGTGTGTGTGTGTGTGTGTGTGTGTGTGTGTGTGTGTGTGTGTGTGTGTGTGTGTGTGTGTGTGTGTGTGTCACAGGAGATGATATGGCGCACGAACAGGATACGGTGCTGCAGCTCCAGGAAGTCATCGAGCAGCTTAGAAACGTCTTCCCTTCAGAACCGGGTGAGTTCAGTCACGGCTGCACGGACTATAGCAATCCACACTTCAGAGACACACTCTTTGCTCCTCCATCACCCGTGGGAGAGTGGGAGATGAAGAGAAGAGCAAACATGTACTGCTGTGGGTTGATAGTCCGGGGACGGGGACATTAAATGGCGGGGAGGAGGAGTAAGATAAATTGAGTCTGAGACAGTAGCACAGAGAAAGAAAGGGAGCGTCACTGTCACACACTTTGCAAACTGTCCCGTCTCATTTGAAACGCAGTTGACTGGGCAGAGGCCTGTAACTTGAACAAAGAAAGGGATTATCATAATCATAGCCTCCACAGTTATAACCAAGATCATTTGCTCATTTCCTGTGCTTGCTTTCCTGACATTTTGAAGCTTTTTTCTCTTCTTATTTCTAAATGTCAGGCTCCACCTCACACATCTAACCCCAAGTGGGCCTGGAGGAGCAGAATGAAGACCTGTAAAGGACACCTGATGGCAGAGGGAGGAGCTCCGTATGGCTGAGGTCGGCCACAGTTCACCAGGCCCTGAGACCACTGCAGCAGCTATGATACCCAGAGCTAACCCTCAACTGGAATCTGTGCACTAAAAGCCTTTTTCATGCTAACTGCTAAAGGCTAACGCTGATGTCCGTTTGGCCAGGCTGTGCTTCATGACTTCAGGGGTGCAGCCTGACACCGTGTTAACCAGCCAAAGGAAACTAACGTTAGCAGCAGGTCAGGGAGACACTAAAGTAAAAGGACATGCCCAGCCAAGACACTGTGCTAACCAGTATCTGTGTAGTCGTTCAGAGGTGTGAAGCTTTATATGTCCACAGCACAAATTGGACCTCCCATGAGGAGATCTTTGAAAAAAATGCAAAAAGGAATACGAAGTATATCCCCTTGTTTTGTCAAAAATGTCTGTGTCTTCGGTTTTGTTGTTTTCTACTTGAATGTGATATCACGGTTGTTGTTCTTTGTTTTTTAACTGAGGCTGTTAGAGATTGCTAGAGTAAGCAGGATCAGGGCTGGGCTGACTGTATCTCATGTGGCTGCGTGGTGCAGATTGTCAGGGAGTTGACAGCACCCACAACAAGCTTATTTACTTTGTGAGAAAGACACATCATCAGTTATTTAAGACAGCCGAAGTGCCCGCTAGCACAGCGCCTCTGTATGCACACACTGTGTTCCTCTAATCCTCTCAAACTGCTTTTCGCTCTCATTGCTCGCCTCTCCTAAGTGAGCCCTTTACACTCATACAGAACCACTTGCACTCACCATAGATGCACAAACACACACGCATGTGCTGCTACATAAACATTCGCCCTTCCCTCATTGTGCACAAACGGTTCCCTGTGTGATCAATAATATGTGCCATGCTGCCTCTCTAAAAGATACAGACACCTCCGTTTGAAATGGAGATCCATTTCATCTCTCTGGCTCGCAGGATTTAGACCAGCCTTCAGTTTTGAGACAATTTGAATTGTGGCAGAAACTGGATTTTGTGCAGGAAATGTCTGCTGACTAATATCAGCACGCAGCCGTCCACTCTGGGAACTTAGCGTCCTCCTGCAGTGTGCAGAGAAGGAGAAGGAGGTAGATGCAGGCAGCAAGCCTCTCTTTCTCTCTCTGTCTACCAGGCCAATTCCAGGCACTACAGGGGGGAACAGGGCACACCACCATAACGCGGCTCTACACTGACATCATCCTGGATAATCCCTACTCTCCGTCTATATCTCTATAGAACACTAGTATTGATTCTACATGCCTCATTTTCCCTCGCTAATGCGTACCTAAGTACTTTTTAGATCCACAAAGAGACGCCAGGTTGAAATGGAGTTGCCCTCATTGTATGAGGGTCATAGGGTGCGTTCTGTTCTAAACATAGCACAGTCATTGAATGCCTTAAAACCAAACTGGATCCATATTAAATATAGACTTTTTCATTTAGTTTTTACATTCAGGGACAGCAGGTGGTTGAATTGGGCTCACAGGACATGGAAAAGGAAGGATCACAGTGCATGAGCGTCCATACATTGAAACCAGTTATAATAGGACTTTTATGGGTGAACATCAACATGCTGGGGGTGCCTAGCGGGAATAAAGATCTGAGAAACAAGAGAGGAAAGGTGGAAAAAAAGCCCAATCCAGTTATTGCTCGAGGGCTGGTGTGAGAGATCCATTTTGATGTGCCTGGCACAGCGAAAATCTCGAGGAGCAGGATAAGAGAACGCCTGAAACAACTAAACTGTGGCTCTGTGTTTCACAGTAAATCATACTGGCTGGAAATACAACTACACCCAGTTAGGAATTCATCTTAGACCTTAAAGCGACTTTCTGACCTCACACATGAGTTTGAAACCCATGTGCTGCATTCATTACGGCTCCCCCTCCAGGCACACAGCACTCACACTTTGACACCACCATCCTCATCACTCACTGCCTGTTAGTTTTGATACTGTTGCTAGGGAACTGTCCCCAAGGATGCAGTTCCACAGGTTTGTGAATTTGAAAGGTGATGTTTTCCCGTTCATAATACAAATGCTAATAGCCTTAAGAGAAGCTAGAGAGATCGCACTTCTCCTCTTCTCCACTCCCACCTCCAATGAAGCATGTTGCTGTTCAACTGCTGAAGAGCCATTATCATCTGTTGAATCCATCTCAAGCAACACTTAAGATTTTTTTTCAGTTAAGGTCTCACAGGTCGAAACAAAGAGCAGCTTGGGTCATGGATAAAAGAAAAAAAAAACATGAAAAGCAATGTTTATTCACAGACATGCATTTATTTGTATTTACACATCTCATTACACATTGATGAAACCCCATACATCTGTTTGTGGGCACACAAGCTGATGTAACAGTGACATTGTGGGAGAAAGAAGAGGAGGAACTCCCAATAGGGCTGCCTGTCAGCATTGTGTTTATTTTAGGACAGTATAGAGGAGTAGGATAGAAATAAATACAGAAGGTGGTTACATGACACACACCGTTTGTCCCCATGTGTCACCCAGCTGCTGTGTGACACCAGCGTCTATTATTATTAAACCTTTATTTAACAAGGTGGTCCCAATGAGATCATCAATCTGTTTTTCAAGGGAGACCTGTCATAAATTAACTTCCACTGTCATCCAGCTGCAGGAGAGTCGTTTCTCTTTGACCGTGTGATCCTCTGGGGTCTGGTTCATGTACATCTTTCTATGCTGGTCATGGCTCCCTATATTCCCCAAACACACAGAACATGCCCTGCTCCCTGTGGCGTGACTGAAGCAGTGTGATTGAAGAAAAAGGCTCTCCATATCACCCCAGAGGACACTGCTTTCTCTGTCAAGACTGCATGTAGCCGGCCAACATGCGAATGAACATAACTCTCCTGCCTTTGCTTAACAACCTCAATTTCTGCTATTATGATGCATCTAAACTTGTGTGTCACCTCTCACATCACAGGGCAATGAATCGACTAATCTGTTGACAACACTAACATCATTTCACACACACTCATCATACTGATGATCTGAGTTTTTTTTTTTTTTAATCACCGTTAATATACCTCATTAATTATTGAAATGTTAATTGTTTAATGGTTTTTATTTTATGTTGTTGTCCAGCACTCAAACACTTCTTGCTGTCCTTTCTCTGGAGTTTTTAATCTGTGTAAAAACGTTTTCTGAAGAAAGGCTTTTTACTGTAACGAGTGGGTTACTGGCTGCTTTCTACTCTTTGTGTACAGAAATAAAATATTTGTATTTGGCAAACTCTTCATCTTCCTGTGCTTTTTTTATGCGGCTGCAGTTATCCCTTTGAGAACTGAATAATGAAACTTAACTCAGAATGGGGCCAAATGCAGGTTGTTGATATACATTTTCTCATTCTGTTTATATTTGGTTTCAATGTGGCAGAATCAATATTTCCTGTTGAGACTTGACCGTTCATCACTTAACTTCCCTGCTGTTTCACTTTATACATCCATATTGCTGTTAGTCTAGGACAGGGGTCGGCAACCCGCGGGCCGCATGCGGCCCTTTAAGCCCTCTGCTCTGGCTCCCTTGAGCTTAGACAAAAATAAGAAGGAAATAAATAAAAGTATTTGTAGGACTATTTATATTTTGTTGCATGGTTGAAAATGTTTCGTATCTTGTATTTTGAGGTGATACTGTGACACATAAATAAAAAACAAAACTGTTTTAATTAGGTCAACTAAAATATGCGTCACATCCTTCTACGGTCCCGCGCAAGCGCCTTTTCTTGGAGGCGAATAACCTGACCCCCGACTCGATGAGCGAACTATGGATAAATCAAAGAAAAGTACTGGAGGAACACAGGATTTAATTCTGTGTGGACAGAGTTATCTGCTTTCACAGCAAACGATGCTGGTTTACCGGTATGTTTGATATGTAGAGAGAAGTTGTCAACGGTGGTGCAGCCTTTACGTATCGAGGAACAACACGGGAGAGGAAGACAGCTGACGATCTTCAGTCATAATTCAATGGGGTATGTCATTTATTTCAGAAAACACTTTTTTTTATATTCCATGGAATGCTCTTAACGTCCCGATAGCAATGCATGTATTAAATGCTTTGACAATAAATACATACACAAATTAATCTCTGGAAGCCGTAGCGCTGTAAAAAGCACGACCAATCATCTGAGCCGGCCCGGCTAAAATAACTGGATGGCCTACCTGCCTGTCAGCCTTCCATCTGTGCACAAACTTATCTCGTGCCCTCATTGGTCATGTGCGCGTTCGTGTGTGTTGGAGGAGGGACTCTGTAAGAAAGTCTGAAGGAAGAGGCAGATTTTTTCCGGTTGTGTATTTTCAAATTCTAGCGCACTGGTTTCTCCGGTTTCTCCATTCTTACCTACCCTACCTTTAACTATTTTTAGGGTGCAGCTATATGTTTTATTTATTTCAAAGTGGGCCCATTTTAATAATATTGTTTTCCCTTCAAATGTGCAGAGGACTCCCCAAGTGCTGTGTTTAATTTATTTTAAAGTAGGCCTGTGTATTATTTTTAATTCTCCTTATAAGAGTTATTTGTTTCTTATTAGAGGTTAACAGTTTTATATCATGTAATAAATAGCCTAATAAATGCAAAAAAACTAGTTTTTGTCTGATATAACAATAAAAAACTATGAAATATGTTTTGCGGCTCCAGACAAAACAAATTTGGGGAAAAAGGAGCAAAATGGCTCTTTTGGTCAAAAAGGTTACAGACCCCTAGTCTAGGATATATTCTTCTCTCCCTCAGCTTCCCCTTTGATCTATTCTGATTGAGTGCCATCATTTCCTGTCTTATCACAGGGGTCTTTGTTCCCTTGGGCTGCTTCTCTTTGGCCCAGTTCACCACTTGATGGACATTTGACCTTCTCTGTGACCTTATCCTGCACTGATCTGTTGCTCACTACATTATCTTTTCCTGTGCCGGTGGGCTCGGGATCGCTATCTTTATCTGTCGCTCGATTATCTGGTGCACCCTGGCCCTCCCCAGGAACTGCGACACTCTCAGTATTTTCATTATCTTCACTTGCTCTCCCACTCTCTCGCCCTTTATTGCTCAGCTCTGCTTTCACATCTGGTTCTTTCCCTGTTCCTGCGTCATCCACTCCCTCTGTCTCAGCAGGGGCGGGCTTCTCTGAGCTTTCCTCGTCTTCTATCTTACTGACTTCTGCCTTCTTCTCTGCTTTGGTTTTTTCATCAGTGGTTTTCTGTGCAAATCTGACATTGTTCTTTCTTGCTGCACTCTTTGTCTTGGTTCCATCAGGCCCCCATTTCTCCTGGGTTGTATCCCAGTAAGTCTTATTCTGGCTGCACTGCATTAGGCGTACACTCTCACCCAGCTTCTGCAGTTCTTTGCGGACGTAAGGTTTGAACGATGGGTCCAATTTCTCCACCATATCCAAGTCCCTCCGAGCCTTCACGTCGTTGCACAAAGCGCAATGTGCTCTCGCCCGCTGATAAACAGCCTTAAAGTTACCTAAGGGAAAATACAATGTGAGAGTATAAATAAAATACTGACATGGGGAAACAGGTGAAAAGGCAGCTGGTCAGCTAGAATAAAACTTTAGAGCAGTACAATTAAAAGTTACAAGGTTAAAGAAATACTGCTAAAGGGAGGATGAAGTAACTGCACTGAACACCAGTGGTGAGACAGGAGACAAAGTAGAAGGCAACAGTTGGAGAAAAGTAATAGAAGGGAAAAGGAAAAGCGTAAGAACAATCATTTCACATCAGCCTCGACTATAAATAATTTAGTCATAGCAGAAACAAAAAGAAAACAATGAATTCATTTTTGAATTGGGTGGGTGCCGGGGGAAGGAAAGAGAGACTCAGAAATGCTGTTGTGAATGTTTGGTTTCTTCTTCCCCTGGTAAAGAGAAAGATCAAGGACTGTTGTAGTGTGAAGGCTGGCATTTGTTCTAGCAACCAATATTGATATTATAAACTCTAAAGTAAAGAAACACAACTAAAAACTAAGCATGTTTATATACTTCTGTACCTATTTCTTTATCCACATCTATTCTTTCCTCCCCTACCTCAACATTTATCTTCACACTAACATGTCATACCTCTGTGCTTCTTCAGCAGCTTGTTGTTGAGCTCCACCACTTGCTGGTTTTCTTTTAGCTCCAGCAGGCACTGGCTGAGGTTAAGACTCAGCGGAAGACACACTTTTTCCAGCGACTCCCAGTCCTCGCCCTGTTGATCCACCACCTGCTGAACACACAGAGAGGACAAGGAGTGTGAAGGAGGTGTTGGAGCTGCTGATAGGTGGCAGGGGGAATGTTGAAAAGATCAAATTGAAAGTGTGACAACAGGTAACAAAGATATATGGGAGGAAGGATGAAGAAAAGGAAACAGACACGAGGTAAAGTGTAGAGGCTTGTAAGAATAGGAGAATAAATGAAGATGGAGGAGGGTGGGTTGATGATAACGGAGTTTGTTGTGTGTAAAAGGCGTGACGGAGTTAGTGTGGCAGAAACGAGGAAGGGAAAGAAGCACAGGCGCGCGCTGTCACAGTGATATCTCTGCTGTTATATTTAGCGCTCTTTTCTCTGCCCTTCACATCCCTTCCTACAATGCCACAGCTGCTCTTCTGTAAAAAAAGGAAAAGAAACAATGACAGATGATTATGGTTCACGAGCCACACTCCTTTCGTCAGACTACTTTTTGGCACATTCATTGCTCTGAAAGGACTGGAGGCTGTTTCATATTTTCGCCATCAATCCTGACGTCCATCTGGATGTTCATTGTCGTCATTAAAGGTTTTATTTGGCATTTCACTTTCCGAAAAAATAAAAAATGAGTACTTGTTTGCATGGTTTTACACAACTTCACTCTGTATTCAATTACACTAACCGTATTCTGGAGGATGTCCACATATTCGATGGCCTCCTTGAACTTTAGAGAAGCTTCTTTTAACTGGTTTTCTTTCATGAGGAAGTTCCCTTCTTTCTGCAGCATCATGATCAGCCGTAACATCTGCTGCCAGTCCTTCCCCTCTTTGTTATTGGCATCGTTTGGATTGATTTCAGAAGAGCTGGTCTCCTCTTCATTAACCATTCCCTCTGCTGGTGTAACCTCATTTCCCCCGAGCGCCTCTGCATTGGCTTCAACACAGTGAATAGATGGAGATAGCTTTTTACCTTTTTCTTTCCCAACTTCATCTTTAGTGTCCTCTTGCTTTCCTTTTACTTCTGCCTCCTCCTCCTCCTCCTCTTCCTCTACCTCTTCATTTGTGTCTTCCTTTATCTCCAGCATGTTCCAGTATTGCTCCCTTTCCTCCCAGTACTTCTCCTTCATGCTCTCTGACAGGCTCTTCAGCTCTCGGTGGATTAGAGAGATCAGAGTGGCGTCCAGGTGGAACACCATGTTGAAGTCTCTCCGGGCTTCCTTCTCATTCCACACGGCGGCGTGGGCCTTGGCTCTCTTGTAGTAGCCCTTCACACAGTCTGAGAAACAGAATAACAACATTTAATACAGAGAAATCAAAGAAAGGCATGAACACAAAGTGAGTTATTAATGTTCTAACCTTGAGATATTGAATAATAAACCTTCTCCGTCTGCTGAAGCTGAGGTGGCATTTTGTTTGCATTTGGCAGTGTGTAGGTGTACACGCAGTGTGTGTATGGTGTGTGTATGTCTCAGAAGCTCATATATCAAAAATGTGGACATTCTGCATGTTTATTCATCACTAAAGCCGTATGTGCTACAATGAGACAAAATAATATTTTTAGCTTTATATGAGAATGAATATCCCTTTAATGTGTGCCTGATAAATATGAAGCTACAGCCGGCATTTAGCTACCTTTTTGTCGCAAAATATATGAAACTTGTTTTGTTTTTTTAAGTGTGCAAAACATTTCAATGTCAATTACACAAAAATATTTTACCGGTGTTATTTAGTGAGCTGTAGGGGTGCTGGTAGGCAGAAATAGTCATATTTAGACGGGACAACAACAATCAAAATCGCTGTACACGTGTAGCACTTAAAAAGGATTTGGCTTTAAGACCTATTGCAGTTAGCACTTAATCTGGTTGGGTTTATAGATAAGAGATGCACCTGCAGGATTCTTGCTTTGGAGTTTGTTTCTTCATGGTTGAATGCACTTGTTGTATGTAGCTTTGAATAAAAGCGTCAGCTAAATGAAATATAATGTAGCCTAATAAAAAGCCAGGTTAGTTGTATCTTTGTTTTTGCGCAAGGCTAAGCTAACTCACGGCAGCTTCATATTTAAACGACCTAAATGAGAGGGATATCT